ATGAAAAGGGTTACATCCCCGTTGGCCGATGAGCCGTTTGCACTCACCGTGTTACGAGTTTAAATTCATACAACTGCTCGGTCCGCCGTCCACTTTCCAGTATATTTGGCCCACCATCAGGTCACACCCACACAAATGTAGTTTTTGGTGACCATAAATGGGGAGATGGCGCTCCAGAGGTGGGCTCAAAGAAAAATAAGTAGCATTTCAAAACCGGGTTGCAATCCCAAGTTAGGTTTATAGAGTCTGGTTTTGTCCCTAAATTTGTATTTATTTTTTTTTTTAAAGTTATTTAAGAAAAAAATGCATTATTAAAATAAAAAATTGCGAGGCATTCATGTTTTCCTGTCACACCAGAGATTATGTCACTGAAGTTAACAGAACACGTAATGTAAACTGTTCTCAGAATGTTATCATTACCAAAGTATCTAAAGTCATAAATGGTGGTTACTGCTCCAAATGGTTCTTGCGTGTTTGATTTGGCAGGTCCTTTTTTCCACATGTGATAAATGGCTGTGACAGCGACCCTCCTTTATTGACAAAAGCACCGGCTGTTAAATCCCTCGTCAAGCATACATCATGAGACCAGGGAACAGCCTCTCAGATGTGACAGTATGGCGACTTTATGTCAGACTGCACAGCCAACAGGAGGCATCTTTTTTTTTTTTTTTGTAATCTTTTTGTAGAGTATTTTCTATTTTCTTTATTGCAGTAGACAGTTGATGGTGCTTTTGTTCAGTGTACCTGAGTGTACAATGGGACATAAGGTGTATCTGCTCCAAAAAGTTGTGAGAAAAACCTAAAGTAATTACATTTTTATTGTATTATAAAATGGATACATCATTCTTTCTTTTCTGCTTGCCTAGGTTTATGTAAAATGTACAAGTTAATAAGGAAAGGTGAAGTGTATGTTTTTTGTTTTTTTTTTTTTTTTTGTTTGTTTTTTCCCGACTGGCAGCAGTCAGTTGGTGTTTCTGTGACCTGATTAAGTTTGTCATTTTTGTTCACTGTTTTGAGTCAGGTAAATAAATCCAGGACAACCTGTTCTTTGACAGCATGGATCATAAATTACCTCTCCTTAAATCTCAGGGCCTGTGATACTCTTTGAGGAGTCACGCAAGCAGTTGCTCGAGCTGGAGGCACTCTATGGCTTTTCACAACAGCTAATGCAGGAACAATGAGTAAACTGTAACTCTGATTGACAGAGAGTCAGAATAAGATCAAGTGTAGTCATGTGCACTTGTGATAAGTGACTTCCAAATTGATGCCTTAAGGCTGCGCAAGAGTCTTTTCGCGTTTTCTAACCAAAGTCCCCAGCAGCTGAAGGTCAAATGGGCAAGAAGCTGTTTTCAGTGCTCTTTAATATTCACCTTCAGCAGCAATGCAAGTGGCAGCAGGTGAAGTAAAGCAGCGGTCCCCAACCTTTTTTGCACCACGGACCGCTTTATGCCCGACAATATTTTCACGGACCGGCCTTTAAGGTGTCGCGGATAAATACAACAAAATAAAACTAGTACCGGTACCAAAAAAAGAAGATTTATTCATAATACACGTGAAAAGACCCAGGAAAACCAAGTTAACGATAAAAACGATAACAAAATAATGCTGAAAACCGATAAAACTCCTGAAAACTATACATTTCACACCTGAGCCTCAACTCTCGCGGCCCGGTACCAAACGACTCACGTACCGGTCCGAGGCCCGGGGGTTGGGACCGCTGAAGTCAAGTACAAAAACGTCATTAATTTTTGATTATTCTGCAAATTGCCAAAAGATAAATTGAATTGTGAACTATGTTTCGTAAAGCCGAAAGTGACTTATTCATAGAGAACTCTTTTTTGATACACCAGAACGATTCACTGTTACCTTGGTCATTTACATGACTAATAACGGCTTCAGTTCCTCACATTAACTTTCAGTTTACTTGTCAAATGCAGCTCAGCAACAGCAACATGTATCCATTCTGCATGTGTGACTGTGACTTCAAGCACAAGAAGATTCTTTAAGGTTAAGAGAATGAAGCTGCGAGCAGTCTTTGTTTCTTCTGCAGCAGTGCTGTGATGTTAACAGTGGACTGCATCACCGCTTTGGTTGTTTTTTGATTGTCACACACACAAACTGTGATGTCACCTCTGCCCCGAACCAACACCATACTCCGTATTAGTCAGCGGGCTGCAAAAATTGAGGTGCACAACTGACTGAAAGAAAACTGAACCATTCATGATGGCGACAACGGCAAACCAAAACTAAGAGGAAACAACAAATATAAAACTAGGTAATGATTCGGTCCCTCCAACTGGGGCTGGGCAATATAGCCTAAAATCCATAATGCGGTAAAATTTGAAGCATGTGCGGTAACGATATATATCGCAATATATAATTTTTCTTCTGTATAACGTATTTTCCACACTAATACGGCACACTTGAAATCCTTTAATTTTCTCAAAAATTGAGAGTGAACCTTATAATCCGGTGCGCCTTATGTATGTATCCTGGTTGTGCTTACTGACCTTGAAGCGGTTTTGGATTGTTGGAGCATTACGGCTGCCGTAGTCAGGAGCCTCGCAGAGTAATCTGGGTCCAAAACTTCTCCTTTTGCAGTCTCTGCAATGCTTTTGACCAAAACCGGTGCAGCTTGATGACACCATCATTATGCGCTATCCCGGTATAGTCAAAACCTCTACCGCTGGCCAAATTCATATCGTTTCTACCGTATACCATTTATACGGCCCACCCCTACCTAAACCTGCATGTCTAATAAATAAAATGGCAAATTCTTTTTGTAAAACAATAAAAAAAACATTTTACACTTTACTGGAGGCACTGTGGCAAATTTAAAAATGGACAGCTTTATATTCTTATCCAATAATTACAATATTTCAGTTTCTTAAGCTCTTAATATGCTCTGCTTCACTGTGAGGCGTCAGTGAAGGGTGTAACGTGGCTGTCACAACATCTAACTAAACCTGAAATGTGAAATTAAATTGAGTTTAATAAAAGGAGGAGAACAATAATTGTTATTTTAGTTTTCGGCATCAGGGAGAAATCCCAGAGAAACAAATAAAATGTTTGACAGAGTGGATTCATATACCAGTATATACACGTTGCCATTGGTGGTGTTCAGGCTTGGTGCTTCCTCTATTTTGTGATAAAGGCTCCTTTTAAACTGTCACAAACTTAAATTATGACAACCTGTTGCTTTGGTGTCTCATCTCTGAGCTGGATTACCTTCTCCCTGTGGGTGAGGCTCCTGACTACCATATCTACCTCACCTGCGCTTCTTTACTATTGTTCCTTTTTTAGGGGGGAACAGAAGTGCTATGTTCACACACCATCTCTTACCAGTTGCTGACAGTGCGGAGCCTTGTAACTGGTGTACATTTTCTTTCACTTTTACTTGCTCTTCCTCCCACAAAGGCGAGTGCCAAGTAGTCTAAAGTAGACCTGCTTTATTGAGAGAGGACCTAAAGGAGCTTGCTAGCCTTCTGCCCACTTTAAAAGAAAACAAAGTCTGTTTATTTCCTTGAAATGAGATCTAAAACAGAGTGAATGCAAAGGCAAACAAAGTCTCTATAGTCCTGTGCACTGTAATATAGTGTGTGGTATGAAAAACCAACCTTTTGCTCAGGGTAATGCTGAGAGGTGTGTGGTGACACGGTGGTTCCATATTTCCTTATAACTGCTTTCCCCCCCCCCTTATTTTTCCCCTCTTTCTCTACTTCCTTGATTTTTGAATGACTCCCCTTCACTCATCTTCTCTTCATACCTGGCGGCCCTCTTCTTTCATACAATGACCTCATTTTGCATGCAAAATTTTCCCCATCCCAATAAAACCAGGTATTTTGGCTCTGTCAGAGTTGATGTGACAGCTGCTGTCATGAAGTCTGTTGTTTGGGAGCTCTATAAACTGACAGTGTCTAAATACCGAAGCAGAGATGCAGAAAACTTGGGTTTACTGAGCTGCTGTTGGCTGGGAGTGGCACATATAAATCTATCAAGGGTTCGCATATGAAAACTCAGTGGTAGATCAGGCTCGACAGTCACTAGTACAGTATACAGTAGTGGATGGTTAACCCCACTCTTCTAGTTTTGGAACTGAATTCCTAAGCCACGCCGGATTTTGTTTTTAGGTCCTCCAGGGTGTTGTATATATTTAACCTGCGTAGTTTGTGATTTTGGTCGACCACCCCTGCAGACACTGTAGGAGGAGGCTCCATAGAAAGTTTTATATTGAAGATGCAGACGTGGCATATTAACCAGCACGAACCTTATAATAATTATTTTTCTCCCAATTTGTAGTCTCGTCTGTCCAGGATATTTTAAAAAATTTTTTTTTTTTTAGAAATAGTGCTGATTATAGTAAGACAGTTTCTCAGACATGGATTAAAGCAAGTCCTCAACTACAAAAACATTCAATGATCTCCAATGGAAACAAGTTTCAGTCTAAGACTATGCTTAATCCATGTCTGGGGAAATGAGCCACAAAGTTTGGAGTGGACATGTCAAAGCTTTAAGTTGGCTGTTCATACAAATGACATGATTCTTGTTTTCCACCTCAGTACCCTGCAGACTTACCTTTAGCCTCCTTGACTCACTGCTCAAACCCAAAAAGGGAAAGACCATCTCTGAATCGAGGAGGGAACCTAATCTCTCACCATCTTACAATCATGTGATTGCAGCCATTCCCCAACTCTCTGTGAATTGTACTCGTGGTAATCAATGGTCATGGCAATTCGCAAATTAATGATCATGAAACTGATCTCACAGCCCTTTGTTAATCAGTGGTTCTAGTTTCGGTCATTATGAAAATTTACTGTTTTTAAGTTGGAAACTGCAGTCAGCTGAGACTGAAGAAGTCACTCGGATGACTGACAAAATGTTTCTCTCCTCAGTTTTACCTCATTGTGGTTCAAGTTCTTGCTCTACTTCCTCACTATGCACATTTCTGTTTTTTCACTCATGCTTCTACTTTCTTTTTTCCCTTCCTAATTAAAATGCAGGAACCCGTCCACTGCTTTCTACCAGGCTTTCCGGCCTAGCCGATTACGAGGGTCAAAGCCCATCAACGATAGGTATGAGCTCGGGTGTTTTAACTTGTGTGTGGCCTTGACTTGGCTGGCTGGCTTAACCGGACCCTGTACCGCTTTCACCTTGTGCACCCTAAAGGAAAATGTCCATCTTCAGCAGCCTGTAATCTATTTATGGAGTCCTGAAGTAATTAATTGATTTTACTAATTTCAGTGTGAGCATCTGTCACAAATTTCCAGAAACAATTGGAGGATGATTGTTATGTCAGGGGTGGAGGAACACCAGGCCTCAAGGGCCGGTGTCCTGCTGGTTCTAGATGTGTCCTTGATCCAACACAGCTGATTTAAATGGCTTGACTTTCTCCAGAGGCCTGGTAATGAACTAATCATTTTATTCTGGTGTGTTGACCCAGGGTGAGATCTAAAACCTGCAGGACACCGGCCCTCGAGGCCTGGAGTTCCCCACCCCTGATTTATATAGTTTACAAGTGACTACAGCTGTACTTTAAATTTATTGTAGAAAACGATGACCTGTTCTGGATAAGATTTTATTTCCTTTTCTGATAGATGTATCTATGGATCTATTTCCATATATACTTATATTATTTAAACAGCAATTTTTCAGCCAGAATTAAACCAAAGAATAATTGGCTCCTTATGTGTCGTACAGATTTTATCGTTGAGAGGAAAAGACTGAATGTATCGAATGATTACCAGATTATTAAAGAAGTCTAGACTTTTCTCCTTTATTGAAATAAAGAAACATCACTTTGGGACTCATTACTTAAACGGCTGGTCAAACTGGACATTTCAGCAGGTGTGAGTGTGTACAGCACGCAGAAAGCATGGCAGTGGAAGAAGCACTAGAGCTGATCTGGCAGCGTTTCACATCTCTGTGACACCCAGCGTATCTGTGGTCTGCCAGTCACGAGGATCTGGGGCTCAGGTTTCCCTTGTCCCTGCGATGTGTGGAGCTAAGTGCTGAAGAGGTTTAGTACTGAGTATTGCAGATCCAAATGTAATAACATGACCAATGTTTTTGTAAGCCTGTCATTGGTATGATCAGATGAGAAGTTGGTGATTTTTAAAAGTGTTTTTAAGCTTAAGCTTAATTCTCAACCTTTAAAAGCTCATCCTTAAAAAAAAGAGTCCATGTCAGAGCTGTGGCATTGTGCTTGTTACTAACATGCCTTGGCTTTCAGCTGATTTATATTAACCCATAATGGATGGGATTATGTGTAAATTTGAGAACTGTTTTTTAGTTTTTAAATTAAAAAAAAAAAAAGTATTAAATCCCCTGTTCCAGCTCCAACAAATGTCTCTTCAGGGAGAGCTCGATTTTTCTTGTTACCTTTCATAGACTACAAGATGACAGTAGTCAAAAATTACTTTGACAGGTCTAATAAAAGAAGAGGCAATATCTTTCATTCAAAAACGGCTACACAAAGGTAGCTGTCCAGATTGACTCAAACAAAAAAATTGTAACATTAAATTATTTTAATATCTTAAAAGTTATGTTAGACATTTGTGTATACATTTCTTGCGTGTGGCCAGATCCATTTATTTTATTCTTTTATTAAATGTTTAAGTCCTCTAAATGCTTTTACTTGCATACTACCGGTGATAATTTAATTCATTTATTTTTTTTCTTCATTATTCCCATTGTTCCACCACCAAGACAAGAGCTGAAGCACAGGTATGTGCTCTTTCTCAAAGATTACAGTAAAACTCCCAAACTATGGATTTGCTTTGAGTTGCTAATGAAATAAATCAATCAACAAATGCTGTAATCATCATATTGTACGTATATATCTGTATGCTTACTTTGCACGAACACTGTCACACACACAGCGATGATTAATATCTATGTTTTTAAAAAACAATCCTTGGATTTCAGGATGTCTATTACGTTCATTTCATCGCCTCCCTGTTAATGTGATGCTAACTTAATCCGTTTCACTCGGGGCTAAATACGGGATGAAGAATTTGAAAAAGTGCCACGAGCCTGGTGTTTGCTAGTATGTATAATGCATTTGACAATCTTGCTTTATTTAGAGTTTAGGCTTCATTTTCTGTGCTTAATGATTTATTTTTTTATAAGCTATTTGTTTCGTTGCATAGGTACCTGTCAATAACGCAGACAAATGAATGGCACTTGTTTTGACTTGGGAATCCGTGGTTTGCATTTACCATAAACAGTTTCTGTTCCCATGTGCTCTCATGGAAGCTGCCAACAGATACCGGCAAACAAACTTTGAAGTTGAGGTGTATTTATCGTTTAAGTCCTTAAACATGCGGTTGACTTGTTATGTCATGAAGTGACGTGCAGAAAATTCTGGGGAGTCTTGGGAAGAAGCAAGAAAATAAATATGACTTAATAATGCCATATATTAACATTTATCCTGTGATATATATGTGACAGAATGAAATAAGAAGTAGAGTTTACAATTATTGAGCTTTAAACGATTCTTGTTTCAAAATGTCATTCTTGGGGATATTGACTAAAATTGCACATATCATCAAGGGTTGGTGGACTTTTGGAGTAGTTTATCAATGCTTGTGACTTTAAACCTCTGTTGCCAAGTGACAGTAAGTGGTGGAGGGATTAGCAACCAATCAGACATTGTGTGTGATATTATAATAATAATAATAATAATAATAATAATAATAATAATAATAATGGATTGCTTTTCGGGGCCCTCAAAGCGCTTTACAATTCCACTATTCAGTCACTCTCACATTCACACACTGGTGGAGGCAGCTACAGTTGTAGCCACAGCTGCCCTGGGGCAGACTGACAGAAGCGAGGCTGCCATATCGCGCCATCGGCCCTTCTGGCCATCACCAGTATGCGGCAGGTGAAGTGTCTTGCCCAAGGACACAACGACCGAGACTATCCGAGCCGGGGCTCGAACTGGCAACCTTCCGGTTACAAGCCGAACTGCCAACTCTTTGAGCCACGATCGCCCCGTAATACTGCATTAAGCACGAGATCGTCCATATGACCTAAATAAGGGTCCTTGTTTACTTGACAACAGTAGCAGTTGAGCAACAGTGTGTCGTCACAGCTGGCAAAAGACTCTGTGCTTCTGTTTGTTCCTCATCCAGCTTGGCTTTGCCTATGGGCTCTGAGAGTAACAGAGCAGCTTTATTCAGAACTTTTCAACTAACCCCAGGTAAACCTGAAGGAGACGCCTCATTCCACCTCCCTTTGTCCCGAGCCAGCTCTCCTGCAAGGTCGGACTTGTTGGAAATGAAGAGGGGAATTGCACACAAACAGTTTTGAGGGCCCTTTAAAGCATTCCTCAAAATGAGTGGGTTTATGGAAAAATGTAAAACCTCAGTTGAGCACAGTGCCCGCTCATCTTCTCATTTTTAGACAAGTTTCTGATTGGCTTTTGGGATCAAAACGTATTGGTGCCAAATCTTCTGCTGCTCTATCAGCAATGCAGAGCTTGTAGCTTTACAACCCAAATTAGTTTTAAAACCACAGGTTGCTGAAAGCCTTTTTGGACACGTGTGGAAAAATGCTGCATTAGAAATTTTTGCTTGTGACTAAAATAAAACACGCAAATGTTATTTTAATTTTGAAAACACAAAACTCGAAAAACACTCGAAGGCACGCATTATAGCTTTTTCTTTTTTTTTCTTTTTTTTCTTTTTTTTTTTACATCAGGATACAGATTTAAATTTGGACTGTTTGGTAAACTGAACATAATTTTTAATATTCACCCATAAAAACAGTGGCAGTGAGTTTGTACTTCATATTTGTATAATTGTACTAAAAATGTGCATTCATGTGTAACTTTTTTCTCTTTGACATTCAATTCAGTTCAATTTTATTTGTATAGCGCCATATCACAACGTTGCCTCACAGCACTTTATATTTTAATGTAGACCCTACAATAATACATACAAAGAAAAACACCCAACAATCATATTACCACCCTATGAGCAAGCACTCTGGCGACAGTGGGAAGGAAAAACTCCCTTTTAACAGGAAGAAACCTCCAGCAGAACCAGGCTCAGGGAGGGGCGGGGCCATTTGCTGCAGTTGGGGTGAGAGAAGAAAGACTGGATAAAGACATGCTGTGGAAGAGAGACAGAGATTAATAACAAGTGATTCAGCAGAGAGGTCTATTAATACATGTCATCTAAGACACTCAGTCTTAGGTTTCCCATGCAGTGATTTAGTTATTTTTTTCAGTTTTCTAACTGCTAATAAGAAGTATAACCACAGGATGCAGAGTTGTTTCTGGACATCATTTCACAAACTCAAAGTCTCACTGGTCTGTAGTTGATCCCCCACAGCTCTGCTTTAGTCTTCCCTTGTAAAAAAAACTCTGCACATTTATTTTTTTAACCTAACAAGATTACAACTTGAACTCTGCTTTTGTAAACATAGCAGGAAAGCAATCTGTTGTCTGTGTTGAATGGATTTATTATAAGGCTGTGATTAGTTCCACGTAACCCACAGGCAGCAACCCTTTTACAGTCCTCTGTCCACAAAGATCAACTCGATGATTATGGATAATAAAGAATAGACAGATTTATATTTGGTCAGAGAACACCTGATTGGTGGCCTCAGGCCCAGCCAAGGCTCAGCCAGCGGGGACTTATTTAAACCAGATCAGATATGTTAGCACTGTTTATGACTCAGAAACGAGCAGTCATTGTTGGGGAGAGGATTAAAGTTTAACTCTTGAATGCTGAAGTTTCACTTCTGATGTGCTGATTGGACAACACTGTCATGGTAAACTTCTTCATCAACTTAGCTGCAGTTGTCTTCAAAATAGAACTGAGAAATATAACTTTTATAAACTGTCACCATTTATTGCACCTTTGTTATTTAGAAAGGAAAAAAAAGTGTACTTTACTGTAGGGCTGTATTTCTTGGACTTACTTCAGATTGTAATTGCCGAAAGCCTGGGGGCGGGTCTTATCCTCATCAGATCCATCCCAATACATTTGCAGTGTCTTATCTGTTAAGGAAGTACAGTTATTTTTAAAAAATGTAAAGTTTACCCAACAGCTGTGTGGGAGCCAGGACAGGACTGGACGTGCACAGAGCACTGATCTCATATGGGACACCTTTTTTTTTTAGATTCATGGAGAATTTGATGGATGGCAGTCATATCCATGAAAGATCTTAAAGCTTGCATAACACACCACTTGTCACAAAGATTGTACTGTTTTAGTGGCAGCATTTTCATTCTGGCTACTTTATCTTTGGAAGCTGCTGACATTTGATCTGTTTTTATCCAGAAAGGGTTTGCTGAGCACACACAGGCCTTTCCAACATCGTGTCTCCTAGAGCTCAAACAGTTAAAGACATTCACACTTAGTTATATATCAGGGTATCTCCTATAGCCACTGACTGACCATTAAATTACCAGCTGAACCACCATGAGGTCAGACTGATATATGACTTACAGTAGACGATGGACATTGGCAGTTATTGGTCAGAAAACACTAAAAATGGCTGTTTTATTTTGTCTGACCAAATCTGCAAAGTCACCAAATTAAAAGCCAGTATCCTGTTTTTTGAGGAGGAGATTAATTTTTGTCTTTGCTGGTGTTAATCATTTATTTAAAGCACAGCGATTTAGTTGGTGTTAAGTAGTCAGATTGTCTTGTGGTTGCTTTTAAAATGCAATGTTTAGAACATTAAACATCAGCGTTTCCCAAAAGTCCCCTTGAAGTGCCACTGATAAAGACACTGACATGTGTATTAGGGGTAATTAGACTGTACTACCTAACGACATTAGTCTGACCCCACACCCTTTGCTTCAGAGAGTAAACCCAAATGAGGCTGAGTCATTGATCCTGTGATAAATGCTCCCCTGAATGCAGAGGCCCGTTAACGCTGAGGTGCCGGGATTTTTCCATTAAAGCCTCAGGAACAAAACTATTACGTATGCACATTCCAGCGGGGGTCTTAATCCAGATTGAGACAAACAAGTGGCGAAGCTCAAGTCTCTCAGGCGTTGAAAAAGTGTAATTTGATCTTGCAGCACATTGTGTTTAGGTAATTATGGTCAGAGGACCCTTGAGCTGCATTCTCACTGTTTGCATATGGGTTTTGATGGATTTCTGTAGGAGCTGTCGAGGTCGAGTACAGTCGCCATTAACAAAAAAAAAAAATGTAACCAGCAACCCTGCTGGTTACATTTTTTTTTTCTTTTTTTTTTTTTTCTGCTGGTCCGTTTGCTTCTTACCGCCTGCCCCTTCTCCTGCAGCAACACAAAACGTCAGCTTCACTAGCAGTAGTTAGTTGTAGATGGGGAACAGATTGCAGATGTTGCTTTGGTGAGCTTGTCCCCTAAACCAGCAGCTTTTGTCTAGTTGAATTGTGGCCTACATGTACGCGACTGGTCTCTTGATATGTTTTCATGCTTGTTGGTAGGTATGGACATCACGTCTAAGACTGTGCTATGAAAAAAAAAAAAAGGCCTTCTGTGGACTGCTTAAATTAACAGTGATGGACGAAGTTCATCTGCCGTCTGAAGAATTCAGATTTTATCCTCGCTTTATAAGCCCCGAGGGACTTGACTGCTTCTCATGCTCCCCGGTCATCCGGTTTTGTTTACCAAGATGTCTGCTGGAGCTGTCCATGTGGTGGAAGGACGGGCCGGTTCCCTTCCAGTCACATCGCGTATGTTAGACGAGGAGCTGCTTGTGCAGCAGTGTAGCGATATTGCGCAACAGATGAGGTTGCAGTGGGGCAACTCCTCCGGCCTGTTTACGAGGAAGCTCGGTGGCAGCAGACACGCCCACTTGTGACTTGGATTTAGTGCTGGAGAAATAAAACTTCCCCGTGGTCTCTCTTATTTTGTTTAGACTCCATTGTGTCAATATGGACCACCCCTTATATAGACATGCTCCCAACAATACAGCATCCAAATATGTGCCACGTTCACAGACTCGTATTAACATACTTGTCACATCCTGCAATTGTCACAGTTGTTTGAAGCTTTGCTGCCCATGGAGGACAGAAGTAGTTTGTCGAGATTGTTGTCTTTGGGGGATTATTTTAGTTCAGTATGCAAATATATGTGCTTGCAGGAAACATAAACTGCAGTAAACCACAAGAATTCCCTGTGGGATGTGTAACCTGTTTCTCCCCTTTTTAATATTCCAGTTTCAGGTTATTTTCATGAAAAGCATTGAGGCTGTGTTGACTCACACGTTTCACACACATTAGAAGGTAAATTGTGCCCTTCCTGATAACTGATTTCAATATAGAACATTTTGACTAACGAGTTTCTAATTGCGGTTTTGCTAGTGAATAAAAAGTTTTATTTGTGTGGCAGGAAATAATCTGAAACTATTTCTTCAGCTTCACATGTGAGGATTTGATTGATTTATTAGGCTGATGTGATCAGAAACTGAAAATCTAAATATAACATATTTCTAAAAAAAATCTGTTCATGTCGGCAGACATTGCATTGACTGAAATCCAAGTTTCCTCTTCTTTTTGTTTTTCTGTTTTTAGTACTTGTTTCTGTGGAAAAACTGGATATGATCTGATTGATTTAAGCAGATGGGTAAACATGAGGGGCTCACAGGTCTGCTGCCGAGAACGCCCTGTTGCAAAAATACTGGTTTCTTTGTTTTCAGAGTGAGTGATCGTTTAGTTGAGCAGAGTGTTGTGGAGCCTGCTTGGTTGTTTGCTGGGTCACGCAGCACTTTTGACCCCTTTCAGACAGATAAAAAGAGAATTGGTCCCCTGTAGCTCCGATGGAGCAAAAACATTCTTTGTTTTTTATTTTAAAATTAATTTTACAGCTGCGTCATGATTAAACGTAAACTTCAAGCTGATTTGTGCCATAATAATGAAGTCATAGCTAAACTGCTGTCTTTCTGAAGCTGCTGAACTTTTGAATCGCAGCTAATCGGGGGCATCTGCTGACGCCAACTGGCGCAGCGGCAGAACTACACCCTCCTGTCTTTTCAAACAAGCGGCCGGCTGCAGCCAGCGTTTGCATCGGTACAAGAGCCACAGTGAGTTGTCAGCGAGCACACTCATCTGTTGTTGCAGCCCCCACCCTCCAGCTATTGTTTTGAAATATGATCGTTGAGGGGGGTTATTACTGTAAGACAAAGGTTTAATTTATTCAGCTGCCTTCCCCCACAGAGAGTGTTTATGTGCTTTGGGACGGGGACGAGTGCCGGTGCATTTGTGACCCTAATGGAGAACACATTGGCGTTCTGGTGCTGTAAAACAGTGTGTGATGATTTAGGGAGTTTGTTTGGCTCCTGCACGTGTCTGCTGTGATGTACACGGATCCAGGTGGAGGATGGGTACACCGTGGAGTGTAAGAGGAGATGGGCTCGGTGTCAAAAGGGAGGCACGCGTGGTAGAAACTCTGCAGCCAGCCCTGGTGGCTGTGACACAGATGTCTGGGTTTGAATGCATTGGCCTCGGGGCCGGAGGTGGCCAGAACTGGAATGTGCTGCCTATGGTCCCGGAGACTTTGTTTGGGGGTGGTGGGGGGTGGTGAGTACATTTGTACTCTGCTGCAGTCTGCGGGGAAGGCCCGTGTTGAGGTTAACACAGCCAGTGGTCCTTATATAAACCACCACATGTCTTCTTCCTTGAATAAAATATACAGTTTGCTTTGTTTTCCTTGAACATGGAATGACAACAACATGTTTCTTCCTTTCTAGCTTTTTCTTTAACTCTTCAAGTACAGATTGCAAAGCCAAACTTTTCTCTTTTTTTTTTTTTTTTTGTATTTTTAATTCAACCTGCATGCCTCTTGTCTTTTGCTATTGATAACAACACATTCCAGCCAAAGCTCGTGGACATATCTCTTTCACTGTCCCAGATGTGGAAGTGCTCAGTTCAAAGGGTGGAATGTGTTCTGTTGCTGCTGCCGTCATCTATCGACTTTAAAATCACATATCTGAATGAGATTTGTGCTGGAATGCAACTCATTTACCTCACCGTCATTACACATCTCTGACGTCCGTCCATCCCTTTGCTTCCGCTTGTCCAATTCAGGATTACGGGCAGTGGAGACGCTTGAGCCTCTCCCAGCAGTCAAACGAGCCGGAATGTGGGGGTACACCCTGGCTGCCATTCTTATCGCAGACTAATCTCAGACGTTTAGTTAAACCATTTTAGGTGCTTGGTAAACCACTGAGTGAGTGGAAAAATAAGCGGGCAGTTTGAAGTCATCTCATGTTTTAATCTTGGTGTTTTTACTGGAAATGACAGAGGAGGAAGGGACTGCTTTGCTAATATAATTAGCCGAAAAGGACATGAATTTATTCCTGTGATGTTTTAATGCAGTCTTAATGTGATCAATAAAACCACCAAATTCTTTTTAAAACAACTGTTGTTTACCGCTCCTTGTTGTGTTTTATGCACAATTTATATGCCAAACTCCGCAAAGTTTGACTCAAAATTTCAAGGAAAGACAGAATAAACGTGGAGAAACAGGCCTGCAGAAGCCTTGTAATGGTGCAGATGGAGTTTAAGGCACTAACTCAAGATATAGGGTACATACAGAGCTGTGCCTCTCCTTGAATTAAAGCTGAGCCTTTAAATATGTTCCCGTGTGCCTCTGGAGTGGCTGTTCCGCACGTACGTTTCGGCTCTGAATAATGTAACTTGTGAAAGAAGCTTCTCGGAGTAAATGAATGGTGAGGGGAGGGAGGAGGCGGCGAAGGCTGAACTCCGCCTCACCATGTGACCAAGCAGTGGTTTTAAGAAACCGTGAGCCTCCACTCAAACAGGACAGTTGTTTGTGTTTGTTACTCAGTAAGAAACGTGTAGCCGCGAGAAAACTTCAGGAACCATGCGCTGCAAAATGAGCTACAGCCTGCCCTACTCGCCGGGAACATCCCCGCCACATTCAGGGCGTTTGGTGGCCTACAGAGCGCGATGCGTCAGGTAAACACCTTTAAAAGCTGTTTCTGTGTCCGCGCGTGTGGGCTTATTTTACGCGTGCATATGGAGACCGCGTTTGGAGTTTTTACGGCATCTTTGCGTTACTAACTGAAAACATTTACATACCTGCATCCTTTTTTATAAACTCTTATTTACGAACTGCAGACATTTGGCTCCTTGTCAATGTTTTTACACGTGCTTTGAGTGTTGCTCGGTGGCCATTTGCGCTCGTTTTGTCCCCCGCATAGTTTGAGGTGTTTTGCCAGCAGCTGTTCCGAGTGTTGACCACTCTCTTCCCGAACATATGGCATCAGTTTGATCTGTGTTTATACCACGTGTCCCCCCACGAGATGTCCACGGAGCCGTACACTACGTGCGCTCTAGCACGCGGAGTGTAAATGATGGATAGACTGGTACCAGGCTGATGTTAGCGCAATGTGCGATTTCCACGTTCTTTTTTTAATTTTAATTTTTATCTAATTACGTTTAAAAAAGATGTAAACATAACGTAACACATGTTTTTTTTCTTAACTTAAGCTCCTTACAACCCCCAACCTCGGTACACAATAATTGCGTCTGTATTTAATTCAAAGGAAACTGTTTCACATCTACTTTTATCACATTCTTATAACGTTAACCAATTTTTAACATCGTGGACGCTCTAAAAACAATAATTAGAGGCAGTCTGCACATTGTGTTCCGTCTGCTGCTCCAGTTCCCAGTCAGAGCGCCGTCCAGCGGCTCCAGAACACATCGATTGCCTTTGTTTTCGCTCCACAGCGGAGCAGGGCGGTGATCGTTCGAAAACAAAGGCGCTTTTTGTGGAGGAGGTTAAAGGGCAAACGGTGAAAAGTCGGCGTCGTTTGGTTTCATGAGGATTTGTAGCACGGACTCGTAAGTTAATCGTCGTGTTTTAATTAAACGCTTAATCGTCGCTTTCTGGTGAAGAAATGGTGAGATGTAAACTACAGGGTTGAGCTCCTCTGAGGCCACATCAAGATGTTTTTATAACGATGTAAGAGGCAGAGAGGAGCTAAGTGGGTGCTTGGTATTTTATGCAGATACAATTTAGAAAAGAGAGCGTGCACTGATGATGTAATCTGATTACCGAACACGTTTTGCAAGACTGACCAGACTCCCTGTCTGCCATGCATAGATGCAGTCTGACCTGGATATATGTGCAGATAGTTGAATTTTGATTTAGCTGTTATAACAAGTGGAACTTTGTCTTGGTTTCTGTGGGTTGCTGCTATGCTCTGATTCACTGGTGGCACATTTGAAAGTAGAGTCTGACAGCTGTTTATACTGAACAGATAGTGTGAGCGATGAAAGCCAACTTCACTTAATGCAGGCGTGTAGAGCAAAGGCTTCAAGTCCGGGTTATAAAGCTGTTGCTGAAACAGAGTTTGGTGTGTATAACAAGACATGTCTTCACCTTCCACCTCAATCTTTCCCGTGCTTCTGGTCTCTGAAAACGGCATCACGTTTGTAGCGTGCCGTCTTGCATTTTTGCGTTTCCAAACATGGGCCCTCTGCCAGTTTGTGTTAAACACAATGGAATATTCACTAAAAATAGTACGCGTTTTATTTTTGTTTTGTTTTTTCCTGGTCTAATCTCATTCTCTAGAAGCTAATCTGCATGAGTGAAAACGCTCGAGGGTTTGCTTTGATTCACCTGAGCGATGCAAGTGAAAACTCAAGTTGTGGGAGAGCCAATTTTGGCACTTAGTGAATGTGAAATGTCCGATGGGCATAAGCAAGATTGATATCTAAACTTCCTCCTCTTCCGTCCACAGTGCCTCGGGAGCCAGCGTCGTTGCCATCGATAACAAGATTGAGCAGGCAATGGTGAGTTTTTTCGCATATTTAAGTCATATCAGAATGAATCCTGTGATATGGATTCCTTGCCAGTCTGTACAATTACACATTTCACAATAACTTTTACCTTGCTGATGTTAAGATAAGTGCTTGAAAGAGGATGAACGTGAAACGTCTTGTAGAAGGAAAGAGGAAAAATTAGCCTCAAATCTGCCCAAACATTTGGTTTCTGTGCTGCTGGTCCCTTTTGATTGACCGGGGATTTGTTAAAAAGCAACTGCAGCAGTGACGCCTCGGTACAAAGACCACATTTATTTTTCTGTGCTAATTTTAGTTTGTCCTCCCTGTCAGGATCTGGTTAAGAGTCACCTGATGTACGCTGTTCGTGAGGAGGTGGAGGTGCTGAAGGAGCACATCAAGGAGCTGTACGAGAGAAACTCTATGCTGGAGCGCGAGAACGCCGTGCTGAAGTCACTGGCCAACTCGGAGCAGCTCAGCCATCTGACCAATCAGCTCACCCATGGCAGCAGATCGCCGCCGCCGCAGCAGCAACACCCGCTCGTCACAAACAGCACCCCCTCTCTGGTTCACCACGAGGGAAGCCAGAGCGTCCCTCATCAGCCCGACATCACCTCAGCGTGATTCCCTCTTTATAAACTGTCAGAAACACACGTCCCATGGACAGGAGTCTGTTGGCAAAGGCAACAACTAACTACTACCGTCCCCTTAACCCCAAACAGCAAATGGACTCGGCTCTGTGTTCAAAGTGCTCCACTTGAGGACAAATCAACAAAGCAACATCTGTGTTTGTCACTAAGAGCTGTGTCAGCGTGTGCTGATGTCATCAGGCCTTCACATTGTTTAAGACATTTACCATCCTGTGCAAAGTCTTATTCGGGCCTTATGTTTGGCTGCAACAGAGCTGAAAAAGGAGAAGATGGGGGGGCAAATGGGTGGGGGGTGAGGGGGAGCAGGGCAGCCAGTGTGCATTTAAAAAAAAACAAAAAAAAAAAAAACCCAGCAACTGCATGTTGATGTTGTGTAGGGGATGGCGGGGGTCAGAGGGCACAGAGAGCTGGATTTGTGGGGCAACAAATGGGGGGAAGACAGCAGCGTGTACCTGCGAGGGACCAGAGGGGTGACGTGGATCCTTGGAAACATCAGCAGGGGCTGACCTCCCAGTGTCTGCACCCAACGTCATTGCAGGGCTGGAAGAGGCCAAGAGTGCAGAGAGGGTGATGGAGAGGTGGTTTGGAGGATACGTCCTTCCTGAGCGCAAGAGGACGCCGCCGGCAGGCGGCTCAGCTCGAGCGGATCGAGCCGACAGCCTCGGCTTGTTATATGCTGCATCGAAAAATCTTGTGTTGTTCTCAGAGCCACCATACGTTTGACGTGAATCATAATAAATTTTCATTAGTTCAGTTTTAGTATTTGCGTTTATTTATTTCAGGGCTGCTATTTTCATAATGTAAATGAACAATGTCATGGAGATGCTTATTAAAAAACAAAAAAGAAACTTCTTTTTTTTCTTTTTGGTATTTTAGAATCTGTCGGGTATTAAATTTGATAGATTCTTGCAACTCGTAGTTCTCAACAGGTAGGCAATAAGTTTCCAAAAAAGAAACTTTTTTTTTTGGCCTCTTCATGAAATAGTGCTAACACTAAAGCTGCGCTTACATTAGATGAAATCCAGGTTGAATGTATATTTTGTAAAGTGTAAAGTATTAAGAGCATGGGCAGTTTGTACGGGAGAACACCTGTTGTTTAAGATAAATATATGTGATGGGATGTTTTGATAAAGAAAACTGTTGATTAACTTTTTCTAGACTTTCTTTGTCAAAACGGAAATGAATTTGCTGGGTTTGGCTTTGGGGTGATGAAAAGCTGTGAAAATTGTTTGACCTACTTTATAACCAAAGACACAAAGCTGTGTAAGTCTTTCTTTTCCTTTTTTATTTTAAACCGCGCACTTATATATTTTTTTTCTACTCTTTCCTTCCTTGTGCTTCTTTGTCGCCATTTTGCATATTCTGCGTGATCTGTTATCAAACCACTTCGGTACCTCATGGTTTTTATCCAGAACTCTTGTTTTTCTGTTGAATGAAAATCTGAAAGTTTCCGAGAGAGAAAATTGATAGGAGGTTGGAGTAAGTAGCTGATGGTGTGAGTTAGAAGAAGAAGAATGGAAGGAAAAGTCTTGTGCATGAGGCGAGAAAAGGAGCAGTCTTTGTTTTCATCTAAATGCTGTTAAATTTCATATGCATAGAGAAGGGTTTGTTACATTGCAGATTTTGATGAATGCACCATTTAATTGTAATGAATAACAGTTTGCTTACAGTGGAAAAAACAAAAACTAAACAGCAATACTCAAAACAAAACAATCCAAACTATTAAACATTTCTCACTTTCAAGCTGGAACTCAGCCAGCTGCGTATGAGCATATTATGGGATGTCCTGTCTGCAATTGCATCTTTTGTGCCTCCTCTGCCGACGCTTGCTGTCAGCAGGCCATCGGCATCTCTCTCTGTGGCTTAGAACCAAATTGCTTGGTAATTGTACAATCAGTCATCTTTCTTTTCTTTTTTGGCAAATGGGCTTCTCTTTTTTTCTGTTCTTTCATTTGAAGGAGATACCGTGTACATGCCAAATGTACTGTATGAAAGTGATCACTGAGCCTTGGAGAAAATATCTTAACGATGCCCTTGTAATGTGCTGTTCAGACAATTCTAGTTTTCAGTCAATGACAACAACAAAAAAAAGATAATAAATTACTGTTTTATTATGAGAATGTCTTCATGTGTCTTTATTCTTCCTTTCGCAACACACGGGGGATATGTAAAGTGTCATCCTGCCAGCATTACCAAGATTTATTTTCTTGTAAGCAGCAAAATTACAAAATAAAATTTGTCACATCCTGTGATTTCACCTTTAAATCATATACTTACTGTTTTTTTTTTTCTTTTGCCTAAATCTGGCTTTTTGTCTCCCAGAGTGTCAAACAGGCAAATAAACAATACTGTAAAATAAAAAAGTTGCTGTAGGTTACAGGGGTCCTGCATGGGAACAAATACAGAAGTGAAGTCGATGATGGCAGAAAAACGGGGTCAACCTGAGAGTTGGCTCATTAACGTTTAGTAATTGTGTGTGAGGTGGTTTTGTCTGAAGAGGCACAGAAAACATTCGTGACTTCAATTTTCCTGTGAAATGAATATAACAAACATGAGAAACTAAATTCACTGGCCACTTCATTAGGTACACCTGTTCACAATAAACTTTATATGGGTGAAAAGTAACACAAAAAGAAAAAGGGATCTGGAGAATCAGATATACACACAAAGCACTACTACTGACAAGTACTTGCATGCTAACCTGGCACCACGCTGCAGTTATATAACACCACGCACACTGGAATGCCACATCCCTTCATCCCCCCGAGGTTTGCCTCCTAGGAGACTTATCAACAATACAATTACAAACCTCTACTGCTAGAATTCTCTGCACTACTATTGCCAAGGTCTTGTGTATGTATAAAACCTGTCATTACTGGATTATCTATATCTATGTGTTAGTAATGAATCAATAATACTGTATTATAATGATACTGATTAATTGAATACCTTATTTACTCTCCACCCTGTTCACAGTAGCTGGAGCTTGAGTTCAAGGACTTGGTCAATTTGAAGAGTGGGCTGCTTTGGAGGGGCTCCAGCTCACTTTCATCATCATTCCTGTGAGCAACACAGAATTCAGTTTAATATTATCGACAGCCTGCTTATGGGCTCATCTGGGTCTTCGGGACTGTTAAAGAGGGTCAGGTCTAGGGTCGACTCAGCTCTGTAGCAGCGAACTTGTCTCCAAATTGACGTGTCCCATTGAAAGACAGTAAGACAGAGGAGAATTTTCACTCCATGAATCATAAAACAGAATTGCTGTTGACCTGGGTAACCTCTTCCAGCAAAGCTACCCTCTGTGTATAGTCTGTGAGTCGGCTCTCCATCATTCCAGTGCTGCTGACTTGGGGACTGTTAGTTATTCCATATATTCTTCACCAATATCTTTCTTAATTTTACTATTCTTTTTCTTCCTAATTCAATATTGTTATTACAAATATTATTATTTTATCTTCCCCTCCCTTTTCCCCAGACTGATATGAGGAGCCTCACGCTCACCACTTAGCATCGCTGCCAAATTTGTCAGCAGTGTCTTATCATGTTGGTGTCTAATCATGAGGACATGGTTGAGAGGACTTGCTTTAGCTCTAACTGAGCAACAGAATGAGGAAGAAAGGTGATTTAAATTACTTTGGATGTGGCATGGTTGCTGGGAACTGACAGGTTAGTTTGAATGCATCAGAAACTAATCTGGGTTTTCCCACACAACCAGAATTAAAAAAACAAACAGACTGAAAATAAGTAAGCAGCAGCTCTCTGGGTAAGAATGACTTGTTACCTGAGGTCAGGGGAAAATGACCAGACTGCTTCAAGCTGATAGGAAGGCAGCGGCAACTGAGATAACCACTTGTAGGAACAAAGGTATGCAGAGGAGCAGCTTAGAACACACACATCTTTGAAGCAGATGAGCCACAGCAGCAGAAGACCACACCGGGTGGCCTTCCAGTCAGCTTTGAACAGGAAAGCCAGACTACAGTTTGCATGGACTCCTCCAATGGTGGATTGAAAATAGTTGGCAAGTGACAAGTCATGATTTCTGCAGCAACATTTGGATGGTATGGCCAGAATTTGGCATCAGCCACAATGAAAGCATGGATCCATCCCACCTTATACCACTAGCTCAGGCTGGTGTAATGGATATGTGCTTGACATATTTTGCTTCCACCACCTTTGAATCTAACCCACGAAGAATTAAGTCCATCTCGAAGGAAAAAGGGAGTCTAGCAAGACTTAACTAGCAAAGTGACTGATGAATGATTGTAATTAAAATAATTCACAATGAAAACAAAGCTCTGACCAAAAATAGCTGTTTACATGTGTAACGAAGCATGCAGCCCACTATGACCTCATTATATCACCGTAACAATCATCTGTCCTCTTCCAAAATTCCTCACAGACTGATAGAGCTCTGAGGAAAAACATATCTCATTCTGAGTAATTCGTTTTTCCAAGGAGGAAGTAACTCTGCCTGCTTGCCTCAACGTCTCCTGAAGGAGGACGGAAACTGACACCAGCTCATATGAAGGCATCACTCATCGCCTGCCTGACATCTCAGGCATAAATTTGAACAAAGGTAGTTATTTTCAAACCAACACAGCTACAACACCTGAAACTGAAAGGTCTTTATTCAGCTTATTCGGAATACCGTGCTTTTCTTTTCCAAGTATCCCTCTGGCCTGAGTCTCTCAGTTAGCTGAGTTTGTGGTCACATGTAAACCAATTTAACTCTAAGTTGTTTTTCTGGGACACTCTTATGTAATAAATCCTTTTCATTTATTAAAACGGACCCTCGGCTGTCATAACCTCTTCGGTACTGGCTCAATTTGATTTTTGGCAACGACCGAACAGGCAATAAACCGAATGCCCTTCCCCATCAGCAAAATATGTGATTTATGACTTCTCTGGAAATATATGCTACATGCAAATATCTGTCGGTGTGATTATGTGAGGATAAATTAAGGAAACTGCTCTGTACGAAACTGAATAAGCATGAAATCATGTTTGCACTTCAGTTAACATTTACTTATAAAAAGTGGGAAATTTTCTAAACCCATGTGAGCTTCTTCACAGCCACCTTTTGCCTCTTTGAACTGCAAAACATCAGTCGACACATACAGCTAATGCTGTTTGCACTGGGCTGTAAGAGTCTTTCTTAAGCTTCCCTTTCTTTCAAACCTCTTTCTCTTGAAAACTGTGAATGCTTTCAACATTTATACCTAAAATCTGGAATAACATGTATCAGGAGTTGGCCTTGTCTGAGTCAAACAGCAGGTTGATCAGCCCTTACTTGCACTTTTCTGCAGAAAACAGCGACTTCCTTGGAACGCCGTTCTCTGTGTTTACAGGTGGCGTCATGTGGATCCAGTTTCCTTGTCAGAGCTTTACAGAGTTGCATCTAATCTCATCAAGGTTAATTCAAGTCAGATTAAAAAGAGAATGAAGATTTCGCCCTGTTTTATTTACCCCTTAACTTTTAGACAGCTTTATTTGAAGTTTTTGGTTTTTATGTCATTGCATTCATAATTTTTTCATTGCTCTGCCAGGAATAATGAAAGATGATCTGCATTTTGCACAAAATGGCAAAATTCATACTTTAGTTTTCTCAGTTTTTCTTCTATCTGCTGAAATTTAAAGGGCATGTATTTGTGGCTACGCTACAACACAAAGGATGCAAACTGCACGTTGCTACAAAACTAAAGAACTGGATGGACCAGGTTTTTGTGTCAGCGTGACAGGTCTTCCCAACCACATACTTTCCACACATTATAACATGCGGTCATGCGGCAGCATGTTCACCCCGTATTTGCTCAAAACTGGGAGTGTTTCAAACGTCACTGTGAGCAAATACAGTTCAGCAAATGCAACACTATGAATGAAGGAAGAACGCTAAAATCAACATTTCCGCTCCTTGATTTGACTTCGATCTTGTCACCTGACATGTTCTGACTCATGAACATGTCAGGTGACAGGTAAAATGTGTGTCAAAGGTCAAGATGGGTCATATTAAATATGTTGAGCGCAACTTAATGGTTTATTAAACCCTGTTGGAAAGCTGCTGGTACAAAGTTACATCACTCCATTCTCCTGCTTCACTAAATTTCAAATGGAAATATTGAATTTAAAAACTTAAAAACATTCTATGATCATATAAATCAGATTAGCTCTGATGAGCCAAGCAGGACATCTTATTCTTTAAAGAACATTTGATTACACAAAAATATCACATGAAAGCATTTACCCCGTCTAATACCAAAATTAAACTGTTATTTCGAGTTGGTTAAAGTAAATCCAATAAATATGTTGACAGTGGTACTTTTTTCTGGAGGTACATTCTACTTTGAAACTGAACATTGTTGATATTTCCAGAGAGTACGGAAATAAGGTCGGACGTCTCTGTTACGGTCAAAGTGTTCCTTACGTCTGACTCAGCTAAGAATGTCTAACGTTGTATAACACAGACACGCACTGTCAAATAGCACAGAGGAAGGAAGTCTTATTTAATCACAGGGGTGATTTGTACATGGCGAGGGACTGTCCACGTTATACATGTCCATGTGCGTTATGCAAGGGCAATTACTCACCATTCAGTCATTTGTAACCACGCCTGGCAGTTACTGAGGATGAAAGTTTGCTGTTACAGGGAAACACTGTACTCCGCTGACTCTCCACTGCCATCAGGCGTCACAGCAGAGTCCTACGGCCTCGTGCAGACACACAGTGTAAGACTGTGGCGCCATCATGTGGGGAGGGCAGAAAAGTAGCTTCGCCGGCCACTTTATTAGGTACACCTGCACAACCGCTCATCGACACTCATATTTAACTCCGTTAACAGCTGGCTGTAACCAAGGTCTGTGCCATTTCTGAAGGGAAAATGGGGGGTTCAAGCCGGTAGTACCCAATAAAGTGGTCTGAAAGTGAAAAAATGTCATTTCTGCACTATAATCCTTTCGACTGACTCTTCTGGTTGCTATTTATTCTTTCTATTCTATTCTTGTCTCGTTGTGAACACATTTTTAACTAAAGTAAAAAGATCTTTCTACGGGACAGAATTGAAACCGGAAGAGATTCTTCTATTCTTATTATTGTGCATACTGGTCAAGTGGGACCACTGCCACAGGGATAAGTAATAATAATAATTAATATTATTTGTATTTTTTCACGCTATATATCTATCTATAGATATAGATAGATGTATTGAAGGCATAGATACGACTCTTTAAACAGCGTCAAAAAATACAAATAATAATAATAATTATTATTTGTATAAAGAGAGAGAGAGAGTCCACTGTAGTTACAAGTAGATTTTCAGATTAATTCCCTCATTTATTATATCAGGCTGTCCTTTGTAATCATAATAATTTCTTTTTTGAGTAAATGTTTCAGTCTACTGCAGTGTAAAATTATAACGGTCAGTGGTAATTCCCTTGCTGTGGTTATGGGTTTAATCTTTGCTAATATTTTAAAGTTTCAGCTTGAAAATACAGACCTGCAGTACTACTCTGTAACAACAGGTGGCGACATGGACCGGGTTTCTATCTAGTCTTCTAGAAAGCTCTTTCCTCACCCGCCGCCTAAAAGCCATAACTCTTTATAAACTTATTTATAAAACACAACTGAGCCTTTTATTTTCAAATTATTTGCAAGTTACTGAGGGCGGTATTATCTGGTGTTATTTTAAAGTAAGCACTGTTACGTTAAATAGTGGGCAGAGCTACGCAGAACACCACCGCCCACTGATGATTGTAGCAGGTCATGCGGCCTCCTCTGTTTTGATCCACGGCTTTGACAGACAGGGTAGAGATGGCGGAAGACTTTAAGTCCGGGTGACTCTTTCAAGCAACTCTGCTACTGCGATACATCTCTATTGTACCTAACAGGACGGGATATTCTCCGAGAAGCTGGCGGCTTTGTACGGCACTCGGTTCCTCCCTGAGGACATGGAGATCAGGGCAGAGGGAGAATCTGAGGAGCGCAGGTGAGTGACAGGTTAGGCAGCGTTGGTATACGGCTAACACCCATGGTTTCATAAACAAGGCAACTAAAGAGTTATGTCACTGGTTACCTGTGATCTTTGTTTAAAAAGATGACCAGCAGTGAACGCATTTAAGCTGAGTCAACTGTAAAAAAATGCGAGCCTAAGTAGGTTTGAACACTAGTGAAGAACTAATACCAGTATTACCCGTTAAGCTAGGCTAGGCTAACCTGACATGCCAAGGTTTGACAGGCTGGAGCTAATGGCTCTATCCCAAAGGTCTCCTGGTTTATTATTTACTGTGTTGTAAAAAAAATATGGCGTTGTTAGACTGCACATTTGGAAGATGACGGAAAGGCTTGTATTCGTTAGCGTTATTAGAGCTGTTAGCTGTCATACAGTGAGATGGTGCTAACAGCTAAACTGACCACATAAAGTACCTGTTGTCTAATAAGATTAAAATATGGGTTATATCAGCAAACTAAGCAGGTGGTTATTTTTATGAAGGTTTACTGAAGATCAGCAGAATTACTGACAGTGCAAGTACTGGAAGACTTTTGGGAAGTTCAAGGATTTCCAAGTGTTTTCCCTAGCAGATTAGAAGGATACATGTTTGCCGATCCTCTTAGTTTGCACAGCCCGGGGTTTCTCGTACATGAACACGCACAGATAAGAGTGGAAGGTAATCCTTAAAACCTCAATCTCTCCGAGTCTAGAGGAATTTTACCCCTGGATGTGGAGGGGCTAATTACATAACTTTACCCCTCTCACAGATGCACCACGCTCCGCAGTATGTGCAGAATGCTCGCTAACCTCCGGCCTCGTCCCCCTTACACTCCTGTGTTACACATATTATGTGATTTGATTAGTTGGCTCTGTGTCTTAACTCGTGATGCTGCTGCTGCTCAGAAATTCTGCTGATGCCTAAGAAAAGACCTTGTGCTCACTGTTGTGCTTCTTCCAGGTTTTATTGACTTTTCTAGCTGGCCGTTCTACTTTCACACACCGTCTCTGCCTGAGATACTGTTTTTGATCTATTAGGAAAATAAATTGTTGTGTTTGTCTTTGGCCATGTCAGCCTAGATCAAAGAACTCTTTAGTCTGGTTTCACAGCCTTACAACACATAATCTTCTCTATTTTGTTGCAGTTGTGTTTTTATATTATCTACTGGATTTATTTAACACCATGGAGCACATGTCCAGTTAAGTTCTCCTATAATCAAGGAGTTCACCCTCAGTTGTTAACGTGAAGGTTTCTTTGTTTAATTTTTTTCATTTGTGTGCTGCTGGTGAAGTCTGACTTGCTGAGCTGAGGGGGAATGAGGAAGTCCTGTGAGCCAGCAATTTATGGCTCTTGGGGAGTGTCTAATATCTAGTATCTGACTTTTTTTTTCTTTCTTCCACTGCTGACTGTATCCTAAAGATAAGGGTTGACTCAGTACTCAGTGGGTACATGTCAATGACTGAATTTGTTTTGCAGTATACTTCATGAAGGTACTTGTAGAATTCAAGTGGGCTCTCACTAGGTTCAAGACCTGCCTTTTATTTACATTTGTACACAAAATATTGATGTTCATGATAGAACGTCATGAACATCAATAATGGGTTCAAACGTACTGACCTTTCCTGATAGGCAGACTCTTGGCTATCGGGAAAAGTCAACATGTTCATGTTGGGATGTAATCACACTGCTCACACATTCAGTAATCCTCAGCATTTCCAATAAGTCATTGAATTTCTGATTGTTTCTGAGAAAAGAATTTTGGTCTAGATGATTAATGGATTAATCAGCTGCATTGCCAACACCAGAACCTCTGTACCTCCTCCCTCTTTGTTAAATGTCTTCTTGCTTCCCTGTTACCTTCCAGAAAGGAGCACTGGAAGCTGCTGTCCAGCCTGAAGACCACAGTGGAGGGCCTCTTGTCCACCAACAACCCTAACGTGTGGTCGCGGTATGGTGGCTTGCAGCGGCTGCACAAGGACATGAACAACATCCTCAGCCATGGACTGAGGAATGAGCAGGTCAGCACACGAAGCCCATATCGATCTCAACAACAAACCTTTTTTTTTTGTTTTAACAGAACAAGGATGGCATTTACTAAAATAACACCAGCATATTCGCATGCTTGGGGGAAAATAAAGAATGCTGATTTTGCTAGATACGTCCTGTGTGTTTTGTATCTTATTTCCCGTGCTGTGTCTGTGCCATCTGATTCTGGTATGAAGACAAAAACACTTTGTGTTGCACTGAAGGTGCATTTACCCTGATCAACTGTATCAACACAGCATGCCTGATGAGGTTTTGGTGCATGCATGTATTGAGACTTGGGATGTTTATGTGAGTGATATTGACAGAAGTGCTGTGTTTGTATTGAAAAACCTGTTCTGATCTGACAGATACTCTCCATATCATGGTAATGGGAGTACCTGCTTTGGAAACAACCTGCCCTCATATTAAATTAAAAACAAAAGTGAAACACAAATGTGAACTAAACCGGAAAAAAATAAAACCATAATAAATCTGGCCGGGATGGAAGCGTGTGATTTTTATCAGGTGGTTTACAGTCATGTGGGGGAAAAAAGTTTTCACAGGACTGTGCAGTCTTGTGAAATCTAAATACACCCTTACGTCCGTGAATTAGGAGGATAAGACGCAGGAAAGTGCAAATGTATTTTATTAACAGATCATCAGGAAGGGTGAGGACCTCCTGTAGAAGCAAATGTTTTGGTGGTTTGATCGTCAGTTAGCATGTTAAGTGCTAAATGATGGTATAATGGGGGGGAAAAAACAACAGAACAGGTTTGGCTTGTTTGACAGCGTTACCAGGGGAAGACTCTTCTCTCTAAAATGAACATGGCAACAGCGCTTAGGCTTGCAAAACCACATCTGAACAAATCATAAGACTTCTGGAACAATGTCCTTTGGACAGATGAGAGCACTTTGGAGAGTTTTGTCCATAGTGCACAGCCTCATGTCTGGTGAAAATCAAACACAGTATACCAGTGCAAACACCTCATACCAGCTGTCAAGAACTGTAGTTGAGAAGTGATGATTTGGGCTTATTTTGCAGCCACATAAATTGGGACATCTTGCAGTTGTTAAACTCTTCTGCATATCAAAGTATTTTTGAGTCAAATGTGAAGCCGTTGGTCCGACAGTTAAAGCCTGGTCAAAATTATATAATGCAGCATGAAAATAATCCCAAGCACAACAGAATGGCTGAAAACAAAAAGAATCACAGTAGTGCAGCCGCCCAGTCAAAGTCCAGATCTCAGCCTGATTGAAATGCTGTGGTGGAGCCGTGAGAGCTGTGTATAAACAAATGCCCGCAAATGAACTGAAGTGGTGTTGTAGAGAAGCTGCTCCACAGCAATGTGAGAGACTAATAAATTTAACAGAAAATCATAACTTATTGTTACTAAGGGCGATTCTGTAAACTACCAATTCACCAAAACTTTCTTTTTAACTAACTGGATGAATATATATATTTTTTCAGTTGCCCTTCTAAAATTTAAGGAAAATATGATATGAAACACAACTCTCGTTCTTCATAATGACTTGCTGTATTGGTTGAAGCTGATACTTTTGAAACTGGGTCATACACGCCTTTGGTCTTGTGTTGCAGGTGTACTACAAGCAGAGAAACTATTGGCCGTTTGTTTGGTGTGTTCGCTACATCAGCCCACAACTCGCCTCCCATGTTGAACAGGTATGCCCAGCCATGTTAAAGCTGGGATGTAACTTTTTTTTTCTTAATCTTTCCTGACACACAAATATTTCTACTAGACTTTCTGTGCATGATTCAATTTCTTTCTTATTCGAAACTGTGATACAGACTCTTAATACATCCTCTGGCTGAAACAAGCTGCTTTAGCGTTCACCCACTTTAAGCCGGCTTTCTTCTGATTGGCTGGCCTTTACAAACAGAGATTTGGAACAGCAGTTCAAAAATAAAAAAAATTAAAAAGCATCTTTATTTAATCAAACACTGCAAGTTTTTTGTTTTTATATTGTGATTTACATTTTTTTTTTTTTCCCCTAAATAATGTGGCAAAATACAGTATACACTCTTTTGGCTCTGGTTCTCCTTAACTAAATAATTAATAGTTGCTGTTTAGCAGTGTTTGAGAAAAATATGCTACTGTGATTTAATGCTAAGTGTGGTTTATTTACGCTACATTGGTTGCTAATGCGGTTTTCATTTCTAAATCAGTTTCTTTCTTCGTTTCTCTCGCTTCGTTTCCTACTTCTGAGTCATCTTGTTCAAAGCTTTAAACACTGTCTGGTGGTGTTGTTGTTGTTTTTTTTTATTATTAGTTTACTGTAAATGTGAAACCTGTAAAAAGAGCTAATGTTTCAGTTCTCCAATCCTTGTTCACAGCTACCAGGGATGCACACATGCATGTTTATATCTTTTATGTTGTTGCTGTTGCTGTGTGTTTTAGTTTTGAAAGTATAGCAAGTTTCCTGAGAGAGCTGCAAAAGCAAAGAGTAAGCAATTACATAATTTAGGCTCAGAAGAAGCATTTGTTTACTACAAACCAAACACATCTTTAGTGTGAAGGTTGCATTTAAGAAAATGACACTGTTGGATTTGGAGGATTTATCTTTTCTGGAGGAAAAATGATAGTTTACTTTTTTTTTTTTTTTTTTTTTTTTTTTTATAACCTGTAATGTGCTCTTGTCCCATCAAGCCTGAAGTGCTAGATTTGCTGGAACTGCCTCCCTTTTGTGGAAAATCCCCATAAAGTGATGTTAGAATGTGTTTGAGAAAAATAACACGGGCCTTATAATTATGTTCTTGAAAAATCCCCCCCAAACTCACATGATCTGATGGCCTGGGTAGAGCCACTACACTTACTTAGATTGCTGACTTTTTGCTTCCTAGTTTGTTGTGGAAAACGGTCTGCCTTTAACCCCAGTCCTGTCTGTCAGGAGGTAATGGAGTTGTATAACAGCAAATGGACTTGGAGTAATCTAGTTATCCTCATTATTCCCCTGGTGTTACAGACCAGCAGGGCTCACTCGGGCATAATGCAATCACCATGTGATGATTGTTGTTCATATCTGAGCCGCCGTCCTCTAGTTTTGTGCTGCTTTTTATCATCTGACATTCCACTTGTTTTTCTCTCTTTTCAAGCCTGGTGTCTATTTCTGTCTCTTCTTCCTAAACCCTCTTCGTAGCTTTAGACCAACTGGTGGGAAACACTTATGGGGAATGTTTGCAGGAAAACTCAAAAGAGGAGCAGTTAGGTTGACTCAGTGTTGGCTTAATGTTTCTTTTAACAATAGAAACTAGTTTGAAATATATAGAAGAAGATCTGGGTAGGTGTTAGAAACAATTAACTGCCAAGGATGAACTCCAAAGCCAAAGCCAGCACCACCTGCTGAATGGTCACAAAAACAAAATCCAGTTAAGGAAATGTTTATGGCCTCATCAGCCGAATTTTTTTTTTTTTTTTTTTTTTTTTTTTTTTTTGGTTTACAAGTTTGATCACATAATTAGAGATGGAAATGTGCTTTTATAGACATATAAAAGTTTTAGCCTGTGTCAACACTTTCCCATCTGCTGTTCTCTGTCCATCCTCAGTTCAGGCACCTGGAGCCGGTGCTAAGCACTGGGATGAAGAGTGCTGGTGAAAGCTACAAGGCTGAGCGTTGGCTGCTTCACAGCTTACAGGTTCACATGCTGTCATCGCAGCTCCGACCTTTGCTCAAGCATCTGGGACACATGCGTAAATACTACAATGGTGAGCCACGTTAATAACAGCCCAGGTTGATATACTTGTATTAGAGATTGCTGTGGTGTATAAGTTGTGTTAACTTTGTTTTCCCCCCTCTCTCGTCTTTCAGATGATGCTTTTCTGCTGAGCGAGCCTCATGTGACCGCCATGTTCCAGTGCCTGGAAGCTGTGGAGCAGAATAATCCCAAACTGCTCGCCCAAGTAGACACTGTTGGGGTGGGTTTTCTGACATCTTTGCACATATCACCTGTTTATTCATGAAAAGGTCACTTGTGCAAATGTTTTTCATCGCTGTTTCACTCAAGTTTGACCAGACTGTAAACACATCATTCAGTTTTTAACCATCACCCATCTTTGATGAGTGGTGTTAAAGTGATTTAATTTTTCAAAGAAAAGAAACTCCTTTTACTTTTATTAAAAATCTTTCTTTCCGCTGCCCAGCTGTCCCCTCTGAAGGGCCCACCTTGCCTGGGACTACTGAAGAGCCAGAGTCTGTGTGTCTTGCCCGGATCTGGTGGGGCTTGGAGAAACGCCGACAAGGCTCCCAGTAGAGAATCTCTAAGCCGCAGACTCACCACCTCCAACTGCTCTCTGCGAGAAGCAGTCACCACCAGCCAAAACTCTGCAAGCACTACAGCAGCTGGATCCTCAAACAGCAACAGCACAAGTGAGAAAAGAGGCTGGGTTGTGGATTTATTTTTTCTTATACTTAAAGTGTCTTGATGCATGCTCAATCATCCAGGTAAGTAAATCTCCAAAAGTTGATTCTGTTCATCTGGACGTCGCGTTCTCATTGGGAGAAACGTTTCGTCACTCATCCAAGTGACTTCTTCAGTCTCAGCTGACTGCAGGTTTCAATCTTATAAACAGTACGTTTGCATAATGACTGAAACCAGCCCAGTGAAGGAACAATGGGCTGGGAGGTCAGTTCCTTCATCATAATTATGCAAATTCTCATGACCATTGATCAATGGCCATGAGTATCATTCACAGAGAGTTGGGGAATGTCCCCTCTCGGGTGGATTTGTGGCAAGGCGCTATGAATACACTACAGTTTGTATGTGAATAGGCAGGCTGAGTTAACCGTACAGAGGCCTGATTGTTTGTTGGCAAAGCCAATTGGTGAAGAATGTGTTAATGCAGTTGGCGAAGTCAGTGTCCTGAGCTGAATGTGCTCACTGAAATGGACAAGGGTGGTTAAAAAATAGCTTAAGTGGATTTAAAATCTCTGCAGCGTGTCACCATTTTTAGACAGTCGGTTTGTATAAACAAAAACAGACATGCGCGATACTTATATGTATGTAAATACTTACATACGCAAGCCCTTGTGGGGCAGAAAATTCTGGGAGTAAAATTTGAATATGTGAAAAACCAAAAACCCATAAGCAAAATCTGAGTACAAATCTTAATCTGTCCCATTTGTCTTGCAGACACTACCTCTCAAACCAGCAGCCTGGAATCTGAATGGGTGGTTGTCACCAGTCCGGGGGAGAACGCACGAGGTGCGACACCCCCACCTGGCTCAGCGTCCATCCCTTCAATCTCATTAACGGACACAAACTCCTTCCTTCAGCCCGAGGCTGACGAGTACGGTGGCGGCGGTGACTCTGACGATGGTCCAGAGTATTTGGCCATCGGTAACCTCGGGCAACGCAACGATCGATGCAATTCCCAAAGCTCCACCCACAGCAGCGAGCGGGGGGGGAACACGGACCAATCCCTGCAGCGTTCTACTACACAGGCCCCGCAGAGGCGTTCATCTTTTTCAGAGGGCCAGAAGGGGCCGGGGAGGGGGCTCAAAGGACACACTCGATCATTCTCTGACACGGGGGTCAATCAGAAACTCAGGAATGGTGAGTAGGAGATTTCAAGAGTTTCCGTTTGGAAGGGATTGTTTTATTTATTTAAATTACAGTGTATAGCAATTTTCTGTTTAATTAAGGAGCCTCTCTTTCCTATGAGAAACATTTAAAGATAAACTTGTACTTCAAAATTGATTGTAATACTTCCTAAAGCGGTGAACTTCAGCTTCAGCTGGTAGCCAGTTCACTTCTTGCTTAGTTACTTTGTGTTGCATGTTCATAGATCACAACGTGGCCTGTAGTACTTGTGGTATTTATTTGTAATTGTCTGGCGTGTTTCTCTGGAGCGAGTTTGTAAATTTCTCATGAGTTTAGGTCATTTTCAGAATTAAACTAACCCTAATTTTACTGTAAGTAGCAGAAATGTACCTGACTAATGCAGTTAAGGGTGAGGTTAAGCTGTAGTTCTACCTGCGTAGTATGTGTGTTTTTTCACAGCTCTCTGATATGCGGTTAAGCCGTGTTCTCGCACGCTTCCTGTCTGAGGTTTTAAAGCTTTCACCCAGTTAATATCGGCTCCGTTTGCTCAGACTGTTTCCCCTTTCTTGGCTTGAATTAATCATCTCTTCTTCTGCTCTGTCCTTGTCTTATCTCTCCCTTCTACTGTTTGCACAAAGGAGGGGGCCACAGAAAAATCACCATAATAATAGAGGACCCGGTAGCAGGTTGGCGGTGCAGTTTCACTGTACTCCATCACATGACTTCTCATCTCCCCTCCGCTTTTTAAAAAAAAAAAAAGTTCTTTGTGTGCATGGTGAAGAACTCCATCCCTCTTATTTTCCACTCTTGTCTTCAGCCCATCATTTGTGTTTTGGATTTTTCTTCTTATTTGTTTATTTAAACCAAATCAGATTGGTGTGAAGAAGTCACTTTATCACTTTGCTTTCTTTTGTTCTGGGACTCTATTACAATTCACACCTTGGCTCATGTGACCCTTACGACTCGCATGACAATGAGGTGGCTCAATGACTCTCAAAATTGTCAGTGTTACAGCCCCATTAGAGGTTAAATACCTGGGAGTGTCCCGTCTATTTGAGAACCCAAAAAGCAACATTGCCTTTAACTGAAGTGTGATGGGGGTGACCGGCGACCATAAAGGTTCCCTAAGACTACGTGTCAGTATTGTATTCAAAGAATCATGTAGTCTTGTCTTTTCTTCTGATGTTTTGAAGTTTTAATATAAATTCTGGAGCTCACAGAGAGGAAGATTCCCAATGCAAAACATAACTTTAATGCAGTATTGTTTACATTTGCAAAGCAATGACAATGTAAACAATACTGTAAGTTTGTGGTCTTTAAGTAAAAGTGGGTCACTGAGTGATATAGACTACCTCTGTTTCACTCTGCAGTTAGGCTGGTTGGCACTTAAAGCCACATTTGTTTCAGTGTAGCCATACACTACACAATAGCCTTAGACGTCATTGTCCAACACAAAGCATTTAACCAGCTGCTTTTCCTGCACTCAAGCATGTTTGCATCCATTTCTCTTAAAAGAATACTGTAATGAGGTGAAGGATGTATTAACACACATCCTTTTTTTGTGTGTGTGTCTCTCAGAATCAGCAGGCGAGGACTGCTGCATGAAAGACTACAGCCCGTTCTCACCTCAGCACAGTGATACCAGCACATCCAGTTCTCTTTACATGGAGTCTTGTGAGTTTTCTGTGTGAATACTGACACGCATATGTCAGCTGACGTCTTGATGAGTTTTGTTTATTCAAAATGCAATTAGGTCATTAAATAGAGATCGACAGACCACGCGACTTTCGCGTATTGCATTGTAGGTACGAATGGCAGCAAAATCAAAACACTGCATCAGGCGCTAGCATTTCCAGCACCGGTAATCGTTCATTCTGCGGTTTTAATCCCTGCTTGCATTTTATTTGCCCCCAAAACAGTTGCGTACAAAACGAAGGCGAACACAGCAGGTCCGTACAAAGACAGACTTGATGAAAAGGCAAAAAAAAAAAGTACGAGGAAAAAATCAAAGGAGTGAAAGGGTCAGACCATACAAGCATACAGAGTGCGCTAAAGACGTTGGCGTGCTGCCCAACTTTCATCACACTCATATTTAGAATTATATGGTCCTAAGTGTGAGTGCATACACTCACGAAATGTTTAGTAACTTCAGATCCCTGCAACAAGCCCAGGTCCAGTTTATTTTGGTGTGTCTATTTTCTGATTTGGACTATTTCATTTTACAGCTGTCGTTAAAATTTTTCCATTTTCTCCTGTGCAGGCCAACGCAATTTATTTGTCTTTTCAGGTTGTAGTTTTACACAACATTTTCAGATCCAATAGAAATAAAATAAGTTTTTCATAATTCATTCAATTTATTGTCTTTATTTATAACTGGCATTATTGTTTCATTCTATTATAGATTCTTACAAGAAAGAGGCAAATCCATTATGCTTTATTAGCTGCTTCGGTGAAAAACAAATCAACAATGCAAAAAAACAAAACAAAAGAACCACAAAACATTTCAAAACAACATACTGGAAAACAGTTATTCATCACTTGATTGCTTCAATACAACCCTTGGGCACATATATGTCGGACTTTTCGTGGCTGTTTTGATCTCGCTCTCCCTCTTAACCGATCAAATCTCGCTGTGGTAGCAGCTTTAAACTCAGTATGACCCAGGTCGATAGAGGGTGCCCAGTCTGGACCGCAGCATTTTGTAGGCTGGTTTTCCTGCAAAACACAACAAACATTAGCAGGCAAAGCCACAGTGAACAAAGCAGCAAAGCGCAACGAATTCAGTTCAAATCCATATAAGACTTATTTGTAACCCACATCAACAATTATGTTATGATAAATTACGTGTTAACTACAACAAAAGATTTACCTTTGTGGAAATGCTTGGAGCAGACTAACATGTGAGCTGGAACGTTAGATTTGGTCTTGGAATAGCTGTAATCCAGGCCATCCGTCGCCTCTTCGTGACTTCGGAAACATGACTTGAACAATTTTTCTTCCGCGAAGGAATCCGATAAAAAACGATCTCTTTACCCGTCGGCTTCCCGTGACTGTCATGTGACCGCCTATGGCAGTTAATAATACAACAGCTTCTTGCCATTCTTTGTGTCTCAGTTTATCTCTGTGTGACTGTCTTGTAATAGCTCGCGCGTGCTGCCTCTTGTACCTACAATCCTTTGCGGTTTTACCCCGGAAATGACGTCACATTTTCGATCTCTATTGTCCAATATTATGTAAAATGGATAAAAGTAAATCTGTCTTGACCAACACCCAATTAAAGTGTTTCTTCTGGCAGCCAAAAATCAGAACCTTTTGATTTGTAGGCAACATTATGGCACTAAAATTCCAGTGCAGTGTGTAAATGTCTGTTTTTATGGCTTTGTGTTTCTGTGTATGCTTTGTTTACTTCAGATGGGTCCCAGTCCAGCAGTACCTCAGAAGGGATGTTCAGGAGGCCGTCAGAGGGGCAGAGCCTCATCAGCTACCTGTCAGAGCAGGACTTTGGCAGCTGTGCAGACCTTGAGAAGGTCAGGGCTTAATTCATTGCAAATGTAAATTGAATCTCAGTGCAAACATAATTGAAATGGAGAAAAATGTAGAAATTATGGGTGAAGATATGATGATAGTTACAACCAAATTTCCCCTTGTGGGACAATTAAATTATTATTCTATTCTATTATATTCTCCTTTTTAATTACCTCTGTGTGCTGCAGGAAAATGCCCATTTCAGCATCTCCGAGTCGCTTATTGCTGCCATCGAGCTGATGAAGTACAACATGCGGCGCCAAGAGGAGGGCGAGGAGGAAGGAGACAGTGACAACGAGATTCAGCAGCTGAAGCAGAAGATTCGCCTGCGAAGGCAGCAGATCAGACGCAGCCGTCTGCCGCCATCAGCAAACTCCCAACACGGTGTGCAAACATCAGTTACATGAAATCCTTTTGTCATCTGTACACAGACACAGTACTTCCTTCATGTGATTCTAGGTCTCTCAGTAGAGAGAGAGCTTTTTAGTTGTCAATCTTCAAAAACAATGTGTCTGTTTAATTAAAGTAGCTTTCACTGATGCACAGATCTTTAAAACAAGTATCAGCTTTTAATAGATCCTCACATTTAAATCAGACAGTAAGAACCTGCTTTTTTCACTTGAGGAACATTTCTAAACTTAGATCCATCGTGTCAACAAGTGAACTCAAGATGATCATACATGCTCTTGTCTCTACTAGACTTGACTGCTGTAACAGCCTGTTTACTTATCTAAACAAGAAAGGGCTAGCTCGTCTACAGGTTGTTCAAAACTCTGCAGCGAGGCTACTGACCAGCTCGAACAAGGGAGCTCATATGACCCCTGTTTTAAAGAGCATTACAGGGACCCCCCCCCCCCATATTGCTGATTAGATTCATACACATACTTCCACTCGTAACCTGAGGTCATCAAACCAAAACCTTTTAGTGGTCTCCCACACTCGTTTTAAAACCCGAGGGGACCGATCTTTCCAAGCTGTTGCACCCAGACTGGAATGCACTTCCCCTATTTCTACGGTGTTTGGACTCAGTGGAGACCTTCAAAATGCAGCTAAAGACATTTTTATTTCAAAAAGCTTTTAATTAGACCAGGGTTTTTATGATGTATTTATGACTGTATTGTGTTTTTGTAAAGCACTTTGTGACACATGTCTGTGAAAGGTGCTATATAAATAAACTTTACTTACTTACTTACACATACAGATGGACCACAGAAATACTGGAGAAACCATTTATGATTTTTTTTTAAATTTTTTTATTGCACGTGTTGTTTATTTCTGTGTCCTTTCTTCTGTGCAGCTTTTCACTCCACTGACAGTGGAGGCTCCAGGAGGAGCTCTCAGGACTCCTACCAGGGCCTGTCTGACTCGGGCTCAGCGGAGGAGGTGGAGGAGTGTGAACTGCGAGGTAGAGAGGGAATGAGGGAACACTGGGGTGGGGGGCTAAATAATCAAATATATATATTTTGGAATAATTATTAGTTTTATTCCTAGATTTTATAATTCATCATTGATTCGATTAATTCACTTTCTGGTCATAATTCATAACCTCTTCATCAGCCTGTCTGCTCACCAAGCATGTCACATTTCACCGAAGACCCTAAATATGAATGTCTGAGTGCAGAGTTCACATAATACTAGCTATTTCTGCTGTTGCCATTTATATATAGCTGTTAAAGTCATGTGATCACACACGCTAAGTATTTGTATAGTCATACTCATTTTGAAAGGCGTAGCTATTCTAGGAGGTCTGTCATATTTCTCATGCTACAAACAACCGTAGTCTATGAATTGCTTTGATTCTGCTAATAAGGGTTGTGGTTTTTCTCGTGTCTTGGTGGGTTTTATGTATGAATGTATATACATGTATTTAACTGTACTTGGAAATGAACATCTTTGGGATTTCTGCTAACAGTAGGGCTGTCCTGTAACATTTAACTAAATGTTAACAGAGGATAATTGGTTTGGTTGGTTGTTAGGGGGAAAAAGAAACTTTGACCCAAAAGTTCTCAGGAAGTTACAATCATGGACAGATGCTGTGAAGCTGATATTTAGTCATTCATCTGTCGACCTGATATCATTTACAACTCGTCTTTACTTCAGTCCTTTAGCACTGGTGCTTGTTATAGACTCTCTTTACTGGTTGTTGCAATACATTCAGATGTATTCCTGCTTTTGCAATAATGAAGCAGCAGTTTTATTTGTTGTTGTTTTTTATTGTGTGGTGTTACTGGTAACATTCTTACCTAGAACTAAAATATTTTACTGTTTCCTCAGTATATGAACTCAACAGCCATTTAATTCAATATACCTGTTAAAGTACTTATTAATTAAAACATTAAGCTGGTTGTAATACTGTGTTCAAGTTCAAACCAAGCATCAGAAGGGAAGAAAGGTGTTTAGGAGAAACTGCTAACTTGTTATCTTTACACATAACCATGTGTGGGGTTTACTGAAACTGGTCTAAAAAGGAGAAAATATCCAGTGCGTGGCTATTCTCCAGGTTAAGAAGCCTTGTTGATACGAGAGGTCAGAGGAGAAGATTGGAGTAAAATCATTTCATGTGTTTTCACCCTTGTACCTGCATGACTTCCACATATACATGCTCCTCTGGATGCGGCAGCGCAGGGTGGCACTGACACACTCTGTGGAGTGTAAAAATGTATGCATGTGGTGACAGTTTGTGTCTCTCAGATGGCTGTGAGGGTCAGTCCCTGTTGGCGATGTCTCAGAACGGCCTCTCCCTGTCACTCGCCTCCCTCTTCTCAGGTATCTGCGGGCTGGAGTGGTGGGCGTGGCTCCACAGCTACTTACAGGCAGTTTACTGTGGCTGTGCTCCTCTGAGAGGAAGCTGGTGGTTCTACTCCAAACTGAAAAACCTTCTTTCATTAATCGCTCTAACTGTGCTGGATGTGGGTCCTGCATAATTGCCGTGCTAGTTAGTGTTTTGGTTTCATAGTAATACTTTTTTTTTTTTTTTTTTTTTTTTAAAAAAACAACTTCCATTTCACCCAGCTCTCACCACTAATTTTTATACTATTGTGCATATAAGGTTTTGCAATATCTTATCTTTACCTGCTTTTATAGTTTTTAAGTATTTAATTGAGAGCTATGCAAGCTGTGCACCAAAGGCATTAAAAATTGATGATACATTTCTGGGTTTAATTTACAACCGAATTACAAAAAAGTTGGAATCTGTGTAAAATGTATATTAAAGAGAACGTACAGATTTGTCTTATTTACAAAAGAACTTTGCCAACATGTCAAATGTTTAAACTGACATTATGTAACATTTTAAGCTCATTTAAAATTTTACTGGAGCATAGCATCCCTTCATTATTTCACAATAGCTGCTCTCCAGTCCTCAGTTGTCTTTGTTGTAGTTTTTATTTAGTTTTTCGTTTGTTTCATTGTGCTCCAAGATCTGGACTGCAGACAGGCCAGTTCAGAACATGGAGTCTGCAACATTCAAGGTGTTCTCTGACAAACATGTCATCCTGATAGGAGCATGTGCTGCTCTAAAACCTGTATATACCTTTCAGGTCTGATGGCTGATGTACAAGCTGCTAATTCCATAGGCAATAATGTACTCGCATACCATTGTTTGAAGTGAGTGCTGATAACACGCTGGATGGTCTCCATCTTGTGTTTGTTCATGTGGACAAAATAGGTTAGAAACACTTAGGCTTCAGCCTTTTGTTTCTTGTGTCCAAACTTTTTTTGAGATGTTGCTGCCATCAAATCAAAACAAGTTAATATTTATGTGTATAATATGTCTCAGTTTAAGCACTTGGTGTGTTTTGTTCTATTAAGAATAAAATGTGAGTTTATGAAATTTGCATTGCAAATGATAGCGTGCTGAATAACCACTCTTAGCAGTGGCAACATGTAGTTTCCTTCCATAACTAAAAACCAAACACAGTTAAGATGCTATCGGCTCAGTCTCATACTCACTCAGTTATTTTATTTCCCTTGTGTCCAGTATCTAATCTCTTTACAAGAACTTGTCAGTTTGGAGATGAGCCACCTGCCTCCTCACCTCAGTGAAACTGTGCTCTTGCCTTTTTGTGTTAGTGCTTGTTGCTCAATGCTCCGGGGTTTTGGTGGTGCAGGAAGACGAATGTGCCTGTACCTGTCGGGGTTTAAAGAGGCTCTCGGGAGGAGACGAGGGAGTTAACCAGTTGCATCATGTGGCTGTTGTACATTTGAGGTTATCACGTATTCATCCATCCATCCATTCATTCATCCCAGTCATTATTCATTACTTCCAACATGTGTCCAATGACCATCTGGTGTTGTCACACATGCGTCCTTCCACCACGTGTTCATATTTAAAGAAGTTAGCTCAGTAACCAGAATGGTGCTAGGATTATTCCTGATAAGGTACACTTCAGGAGGAATAACAAAGAAGCGGTTATCTCTTAGGGGGATTTCATTTAGACATCACAGCTTTAATTTTCTCGTAGCATTTTCCTGAAAATGCACCGTTTAAAGGGAAGGCAAAGAAATTGGCTAACACCACTGACTACAATATCCCAACAAATCTAACAGCTTTCTAACTGTGCTGTAATTGCAACTCACTCCTCTGAACACAGACTGATCAAAAAGATCAATTGTCAGAGCTTCTATGCACACATGATTTACGTTGTGCCACTAATTGAAAATTGCACATTCACACGATGATTTTTAATCATCTCGAGCAATCAGAACAAATGCAACCGTTCAGACCTTTGTATCTGTAGGTCTTGAGTTTGCTTAGTAGAAGCTATTCATAACACACATAATCAAAAGATTTTTAAAATCCATCTTATCTGTTCTGCACCAACTTTAATTGCCTGCAATCCTGAAATTTTGGCTGTAACCTGCACTCATATGAGCAAACAGGAATGTTGATCCTGAAAGAAACTGGTAAATCCATGCAGGCGGTCTCCTGTTCTGCCAAACCTGTGCTGCTTTTGTCTTTGCTCGCTAGTTTCTTTTCTTTCTTTTTTTTAAGAACACGTTTTAGTGATGATATTGAGACTGTTTAGCTTTCACTGCATGTTTTCTGCTTAAGTGAATTTAAAATTAGCTTGAATTAGAAGAGAAGAGATGGTGTGGGGTTTTTTTTTTTTTTTTTTTTTTTGTCAAATTTATCTTTCTCGATTTGTTTCACTTTTTAATCTTCAACCTCTTTGATTAATTTTTTATTATTATTTGTTTTTAACTCTGCTTTGCTGTAGCAAATAGTGGCAACAAACCAAAGAAACACCATCCACTCGCCAGTTGCTTGCAAGCCTTTGGAAGCCCTCTCTTAAAAATGAGTCCTGTTACTGTTTGTTTTCACTCGGCCAAATCTCCTTTAACGTGTCTTCTAGATGCAGACATAAAGCACAGTGTAAGCTCCAGCGGCAGATCTTTTCTCAGCTCAGATTCATTGTAAGTAAATTTTTCTCATTTCTCTTTACATCATAATTTTGTCAGTTTTACTTTAAAAACTGGCTCAGTACCTCACTAAGGAACAGCCCTCTGGCTCGACAAATCATGGAAGCTCCACTACCACATCGTCGTTCTAGACAGACCAATCACTGCAAGGACAGAGGGTCTCCTGACCCCCTTTATAATAGCCACTGGCCCAACCACAGGCATTTTCAAATAGCCCTTTTCCTCTAGTACTTACTGGGGGCAGCTCAGCTCGACTCGGTTTTTCAGGTTTTCTGTTAGGTGGCAGTACCTGATACCAGGTACCTTTTTTATTACCTACTGAGCCAGGGTTCCAAACAATCTAAAGCAATTGGAAAATTTGACATCAACAGACTGCATGCCACCAATTTGACACTCAGTGGCGTCACTTGATGAGTCATGAGCGTCTCCACAGAAACCTGGCAACGAGGGAAATGACTACCCACAAAACTCTATGGTTCCCGTGGCTGACAAAGTGCCGTACACTGAGTAGCAGGTATACCGTCACCTCAATGTCCTCCATTGTTGTGGTGTTCATGTCGCATGCAAATGACGTCACTGGACTTTCAGCTGGATTGCTGTATCAAGCTCGTGTACATTGGATGGTACTCAGGTCACTTTTTCATTACAACTAAGTCAAGTTGAGCCAAGTAGGTGCTAGGTGAAATAGGCCAAAAGTATTTCCTCTACGTGCCCATGCCCCATTGCTCTTACTGTTATTGTCATACTAATAACTTACTGATAATACACAAGGACCTATTTGGAGTTGAAGACCAGAGTTGAAGTCACTTAAACAAAACAAAACAAAGCGTGCTTTAGGTTTCCTACACTCCATTGACTTCATTTAGTTAGTTTAATCAATCAGTTGAATTCCAAATTTGAACATTAAAATGAATCAAGTTGTGGATTTTACTGTCCCTTTTTTAAAAATGTCTTGCTTTCCTGTGTGTAGCACCCCCTCCTTCCTCCAGTCTAACTCAGCTGAGTCAGTAGCCATGGGTTTACTCAGGCAGTTTGAGGGCATGCAGCTTCCTGCAGCTTCTGAGCTCGACTGGCTGGTCCCAGAACAGGATGCCCCTCAGAAGGTACATATCCCTGCCGCTTGCAGTTTTCCAAACATGGCACTGAACATTGTACTCAACTGATCATGCTGTCTCCCAGTTGTTGCCTATCCCAGACTCTCTGCCGATCTCTCCTGATGACGGCGAGCACGCAGACATCTACAAGTTAAGGATTCGGGTCAGAGGTAACCTCGAGTGGGCGCCGCCGCGACCACAGATCATCTTCAACATTCATCCTGCACCCAAGTGAGTCCACATCATATGCATCTTCATCTTTGTGAAAATAAATTAAAAAATAAATAAATAAATGTATGTATGAAAAATAAATAAAAGCATACTACAGGGATTAAAGTGGATACAGTAGGTGGAGAAGAGGAGTCTAAATTAGGGTTCTGTTAGCACCAATGAACTTAATTTATATTTTCAGGAATAATAGTGATGACTGTGGGCTCTTTCACAGAAAATTTAAAGATATGCTTATATTTATTAATCATTTCAGACATGCAGTAATCAAGTAAGAGACACAACTGTTTGCAGTTTGCATTTTTTTTTAACTTATTGTTGTCTTTCAGGAGGAAGATAATTGTGGCTAAACAGAACTACCGCTGTGCTGGCTGTGGCACCCGCATTGACCCAGGTATAACCAGCAACAACATAAAAGCTAAAGGAATTGTTCTGCGTGCACATCCTTACCTTACCTCCCTGTGTTTTTGTTGCCTGTCCCTGCCTCAGACTACATTAAGCGGCTACGTTACTGTGAATACATCGGCCGGTACTTCTGCCAGTGCTGTCATGAAAACTCTCAGGCTGTGGTTCCCGGCCGGGTGCTGAGGAAGTGGGACTTCAGCAAATACTATGTCAGCAACTTTGCCCGGGACCTGCTGAGCAAGATTTCTGGAGATCCGCTTTTCAACCTCAACGATATCAACAGCGAGCTGTACAAGAAAAACAAATCTCTGGAGACTGTTCGAGTGAGTTCAGAGGCAGCAGTGACATTATCATGTTCAGACTAACATCACCAACATGCAATATCATTAAGAAAGAGTGTTGGAAAATAATTCACACTCTGTCTTTACCTTATATCCTGTATTTGAATTTATTTTTGCAAGTGCTTCAATGAATTACTGCACATACTTCTGATTTTCCTGGAAAATATAAAGAGATGATGGTTGACTTGAGACTTTTGCATCATACAGTAACACAGCCTTACAAGTCATGTTTATTTTTCTCATGCACAGTGAAGTAAACATAATTTTCTAATGTGGTATTCAGGTTTTGAGGATGCAGCTTTTTCACATGAAAAATCTCTTCAAGACGTGTCGCCTCGCTAAAGAGTAAGAGATCTCTGCTTTCTCGTAGTCCACGATCATTTCACAAAGCTTGGTAACAAACTTAATTCGAGGTTGTGTGTGTCTCTCTCCTCAGCTTGTTGGACAAGTTCGACAGCCTGCCGGGTCACCTGACAGAGGACTTTCACCTCTTCTCCCTCAACGACCTCACTGCTGTGCGCAACGGGGAACTGGGTTCCCGAATGAAAGAGCTGCTGAAACTTGGTACCATGCACGTAGCCGGCTGTGTGGTAAGATGAGAGTCAGGTTCCTCTATAGATTAAAATGGGCTTTTGGACAATAACATCAACAAATACAATGCTTTTTGTTTTTTTTTCGTGTTAATCTAAAATTTCCTTATTTCCTTTCCCCTCATCTTATCCTCAGCTGTGCCAAGCAAAAGGCTTTATTTGCGAGTTCTGCGGGAACGACAAAGACATCATCTTCCCTTTCCACCTGAGCAAGTGCCAGCGTTGCGAAGGTGAGCCCTCTCTGCTGGTGGCAGGCCTGGGTGGTGCAAGGCCCTCCTCCCGCCTCTTCGTTCAGTTTACCTGGCCAGATTGGAAGATCCCCAAGCCTCGTAGCCTGGCAAAGGCCCTCGCGATGGGCATGAAAGAGGGGGTGGGTGGGGAGGAGGATTTAGGGATGGGAGTAGATGAGGAGGTGAGGAGTGGAGAGCAAAAGGAGCAGGAGGAAGTGCGACAAGCATCAAGAGACACAGCACAAGTGAGACATGAGAAAGGGGGACTATTTCAAGGTTTTACTGCTGGAAAACTGGTTAAAGCTTTTTCCCGAAATAAGCTTAATGAGGAGGAGCAGGTAATGACAAGAGGGGGGGATTTGGGGAGGAAGGAACAGATGGCGCATGATGACAACGGAAGCGTTGGTCAGCACGGTGGGGTGGAGAGCAGTGAGGGGGAACAGAGCAAGGAAAAGGAGGACAGACATACAAGAAAGGAAAAAATGAACTTCTTGAAGGTTTTTCAGATGGACAGATTAAAGAAAAGCATCTTAAAAGCAGACAAAAGGGACAGCGACAGAGAAATAGGCAGCAGCGTGGAAAGTTTAAATGAAATTGGAAAAGAGGGGAAGGGAGGTGGCAAGGCATCAGTGCTAGGAAGTCGAGTCAAAGGTTCTTCAAAAACAGACGTGGAGGATGAGCGGAAACCAGAAGTGAAAGAGGAAGACAGAAATGAAGAGTTTAAAAAAAGATCCTCAGAGGAAGCACGGGGAACGGCAGACGAAAAGAAAGATGGGGCCCAAGCTGGGAGAACGGGGAAAACTGAATCTGTGGCTGACAAACATCCCGTTATGAGGCTAGAATCTCATCAGCTGACAACTGTTGTCTCCAGAGGGAGAAGCAAGGAGAAGGAGGAGAGTAGTGGAAGTGGGGAAAGTGATGGAGGAAGAGGAAGAAACCCTGGGGAGGAAGGCCAAGAAGAATCAGGAATTGTGACGCGGAGTAACTGGAGAAATCATAAAACTCGCAAAGGCAGGAAAATAACCAGAGGCAGGAAGATGAGGGAAGGCATGGAGGAAAAATAAGACAAGAGGGGAGAACACAAAGAGACGCGACATAAATCATGATGCAGGGGGAGGTGGAGGACACGAGTAAGGAGGGCTGTGTCCTGGGATCACAAAGGATTAGGAAACCTGAGTAAACCTGGAATCAGCTCACAGCAAACAGTTTAATTTCATACATTTGCTGGATTAAAACTAGCTCCTGTTTGTCCAGAACAAGCGATGGATTTCTGGTTGCAGTTAACCAAAGGCCTCACGGTTATTTATCCTTTGAATAAGACTATCGAGCAGTTATTGTACAGTGATTTAATTTTGTCTACCCTTGAGGTACATGTTTTTTTTACAGTGTTCAGTCTTGATATTTAAAATGTTACTACCCCAAACGCACATTTTTGGCAGTTAACACTTGTGTAGCTGTGCATTAATGTTTACCAAAACCAGAAAGTCTTACAGAAACCAAGTTGGACAATCCTTATTGCCAAGAGTATGATGATGATGATTATATTGATACCACTCTTATATTTGCCTGTTAAAGGTAAAACAACGGCCTATAAACGTCTCTAAACTTTGCAGATGCACGAGTTGGGCCTCACGTGTTTACATCCAGTGTTAAATATGTAGTTTTAATTTACTTTGCAGACATAAGAGTGGTGTTCTCTAACTGCACAGGACATGGTGAACTGTCCCTTTAGGTGTTGTAATATGTCTTGTGTGTTAAATTATTATTAGATGTTGTAGTCGTACCTTCATATTTCAGCCATCTTTTTCCCTTTACAGTTGTTTTTTGTCACTGAGGTCTGGTGTGTTTCTGTAGTTACGGTGCTGGTGGAGGGGCGATGTTTTTGGGCGGGGTTTTTTTGCGGTGGATCTCTTTCGGCTGAGGTTGTGGAGGTGCTGGCGCTCTACGTTCCCATCTTTCTCTCTGAGCTCTGAGCTGCTTCCGTGTTGTTGGTGTGTGTCACAGTGAAAGAGACGCTGCTCCTTGTAGTTGCTGCTTTTATTCTTCTTAAGAGCTTTTCTGGGAACGGGTGGCAACTGTACTACAGTGGTGCGTCGCTCTGAAACGTTTACATCTCTGCATGCTTCGTTTCGGTGGGTGTTTGTGTTTGTCTGAGTCGTTTTCTCGCACGTGTTCCACCTGAGCTGGTGATTTCATTCCCTTTGTTCGTGTGTGATGTCGGCTGAAGAAGAGTCAAGTAAATCTGGACTCTGCTGTTGTTGTTGCTACGCTGCCTCGCCTGTCTGTGTTTTTAAACCCTTTTCTTTTAGTATTTAGGCTTTTGTCGAAGGAACTACTTTAACGTGCGGAGGTGACGACATGGATGTGAATGTGTAATTTATGCTTTTTAGTAGCTTCTGCTTCTGATTGCTATTATTTAAGCTGGTTTTTATTTTATGTCCTCATAAAATAAACATTGTTTTTGAATTTGAGTTGCCTGTTTTTTCATGAGTCCATCATCAACAGAAAAAAAAGAGATCCCCGTTAGAGCATCGTATGGGAATGAGGCTGAGTAATGAAACGGGACATGTCTGGACAAGTTTCCTTGTGCTGAGCTTATCCCGGGATATGACTTGCCTGACATACCTGCTCCTTGTGGCTTTCTGCCTTTTTCTTCTGCGGCTTTTATACCTTCCCCGCTCCACCCATCGTCCCTCAGCTCTAATTGTGATTGGCTGCTGTTTGTGCAGTCCAAACATGAAACTAGTTAAACTGGTTTACACTGCGCAGGTGTTGCTTTCTTGTTAAGATGACACACAAGCTCAGTTAAACTGGCTTTCTTTTTAAAAAAATGTTTTCTCTCCGCTTTTTTTCAGACTGCCACGCGTGTTACCACCGCACCTGCTTCCGCACAGGTAAAGACTGTCCTCGCTGCCAGCGGCTGGCAGACCGGAGAGAGAGGATGGCACGCAAAAACATGGAGGAGCAAGAAGATGAGGGAGGCGGGCCTTAAAGCTGGCAACAGGGGAACCTCAGAGAAAGAGGAGGAGGAGAAGCACAACACGACGATGATTGTAGTGGCTGACGGTCTCCCGTTCTGTTCCAGCCTTTGTAACCCGGCCAGACGGCCTTTGCAAACAGCTGATTGCCTCACATGCAGGTTTTACTACATCAGGGCAGCCGCATCACTCAGAAAGAGCACCAAGGCTGGTGTTGATTTTTTTCCTATGAATCTCTTTTAGACATGCACTTTACTCTAAGAATGCGTCCTGCTAGAATGGTAGTGATTTTTTAGAAATCAGCTCCCTGATTTGGCAATTGGATTAGATTTGTCTGTCCTTTGCTGATGACTTTATTTAAATTTCCTTGTAAATATGAACTGAATATTCTTGCCAGCATCTCCGTATGGTAGTGCTTCTGTTGCTCCAAAGGGAGTTTTACAACAGGGCACCTTTCTTGCTTCAGCTGTGCTGAATCATTCCTGAATTAATAAAATCGCTCCGTGTGTGTGAATGAAAAAAACGTGCTGCCTTACACAGATGTTTGATGCTCTTATGTTGTAGTTTCATGTGTGAAAACAGCCAAAGATTCTCGACCTGTCAGAAAGTCCCCATTTTTCACTTTTAAATCTTTAAATTGGGATTTCAAAACGTTAGATTTGAAGAGCTGATCAGTTTCCCAGTTAAGACGGTGTATTTAAATAACCCAGGAGTGCTCTCTTCCTCGCTCCTTACTGTCCTGTTTTTAGCTATTTTACACACATTTGTGTGGCTCTTGGACAAAGCTGCATTCAAAAACACTGGACATTAGAGGAGGTGTTTCAAATCAGCATTGAGTTTTTTTTTTTTGTTTTGTTTTTTTTAAAGAATTGTGCTGCTGCTTTGTGTGCATTTGGTTACTGGAGAGAGGTGTGTTGTGAGTGTGGGTGCTTGTGTTTATTTGCGCACACGTCTACCTGCTGTGCGTGTAGCCCAACTGGCACACGGCTGCTCGTTGTAGGTTTTGGAATATTGGAGAAGGTTTGGTTAATTGCACTGATCCCATGTTTTTGTTGGAGGGGCCGATGGTGGGACATCACTCTTTGAGTTTTTAGATGTGTCAGGAACATGAACCCTGATCTTGAACGGTCTTAAAAGTTCCTGCCGGTTGAGTTTCTCAACATTGTGAAGATCCACAAGGTAGAAGAGACCATTATCACTTCTTGGGCTAAATTTAGTTTTTTCTTCCAGCAGTTTGAAAGTGTAAACACGACGGTTCACTGTTTGAACACGGAGTTGTGTGCGAAAGCAATTTTTCCAATGGGACTGCTAGCTTGGAGTCTCCTTTAACTGTTTAAACTGACCGTAAGGTTCTGACCACGTATGAGCGTGCTGTTATCACCTGTAGCAGATGATTAATTTCAGTAGTTGAACCAAAAAATATCTTTACAACTCTGATCGTTTTATTTTGATGACTTTTTTTGCAAACCCAGTATTGCACAGAGGAATAGAAATGTCTGATTATTGGCTCTGTTGTGAGCTGAATTGATCACATTTGTAGTCCTGAAGTCCTTTGATAGACTGGATAAAACTCCAGTGTATGTATCCCATCTGTAGATTTGAGTTGTTGAGGTTTTGGGCACATAAGGATAAAATATCTTTATTTAAAACTGCCAGAGACTGATTTTTGAATTTTGAGATGCTTTTTAGAAGAAACACTGAACAAAGTGACTGCTGAGCTCTACTGACAAACCTCCATTTAGATGATTATTACTATTGGTTTTGTTGCCTTTAACATGGACGAGCGAAGGAGCCTTACAGTGCACTACAGATCCAAATGTATGCTATTAAAAAAGTTAATTATTATGATTAATATTGTGTGTTCATTTGCTTTGGTTCTGTAATCATGTTAATAATAAATGACTGGCTAGACTGTTAATAAGTGTCATTCTTCACTTGAACTTTTCTTGGTAAATAAAACTGAAGTCTTGGAAGTTCATCTGCTATGTATGTTCATAATTAGTATTTAATACATCAGAGTCACAGCTGCCAAGACCCAGAGGTGGAGGTTTTTCTTTGCCTGTTTTGTTTTTGTGTGATTGCAAAACAATAGGCTGGCGCCCCCTGGTGGGCCATGAAGGTACTTCAGATCGACTATAGGAGATCATTAACAATAACCCATTTTGAACATTTCCTTCATACATGTAATTTGTATGCAGTTTAAATAAAAGAGAATGTATAATTTTTAATGTTGCACTTCTGAACCTTTAATAAGCCATAATCCTATTTATACGGTGAATCAAACGATTATCATTTTGGTTTGATTTCTATAAGAGTCTATAGGAAAACTTCATTGGAAGTGGCTCCAAAATCTCATAGATTTTTCTGTTTAAAAACTCTGATTATGATAATTTTGGAGTCCTTCCATGAAAAAGAAACTGAACTAATAAAATAAAGCCAAGTTATTTTAAAAATGAATAAATCCGTAAAAATTAATCGCTGTTTTGTTTGTTTGTTTTTTTTGGGGGGGGGCTACTTTCATTTTTGATCTATTTAAAATAAATTAAAAAAAAAATAAAAATCCTAATTTGCAAAAGTGAAGCTGTTAATGAAGAATCAAGTCATCAGAAAATCAAAATAAATGAAAACCCAGCTGAAGTCTTCATTTTCTGCTGGTGTGGTGATTGGAAATGATTGCCTTAGGTGATATCCGGTCACACTGATGAATGCATTTGGAGCAAATTTGGGGTTCAATACTGAAGTGGTTTGCAAATCAAACCTGATCGGTGGACAGCCTGCTCCCAGTCGTCTCCGTACAGGTACTAATCAGGCTTGGCCCAACCCAACATGTGGAGTGCTCGAGGTGGCGGTATAACCTCAAACTGAAGCAGCTTTAATTGTCATAAAATGTAATTTTTAGTTACTCAGTTTCGATGCCAAGCTGTTTAAGTAGCAGAGCTGAAACCATCGCTTACATTTCATTGTCACAGAAGCTGATGTCTCATGTATTTATTTTCTTTGTCACAAATTGCTGTTTATGATTATGCAGGTAAACCACAACCCATGAAATTGAAAAACAATACAATAATAGTTGTAATAGTTTTAATTGCTAATGAATCTTAAAGACAAGTACAACTTCTATTAATGGCATTAGAGTCTAAATGTGTTCAAGGTTCTGGTCTGCAAGGAAAATGGTGGTTACTGGATGTAAGCCGAGGCCTGTAAGTTTATGAATGTGTCCCTCTTTCATTATTTTTCTCTGGCTACTGATATGTTTGGGGGGGGAAGCTCCAGTAAATAGTGTCAGGATACAGTAAACCACAGTTTGTGACTGTAAAATGCAGAGTTTGCCAAGGCCAGCTACCTTACAGCTCATTAACTGATGCTATTTTGATTACAGGAATGAAATGCAGATAACAGAAGCAGGGCTATTTTCATTATACTAAATAATGCTGCAATTCCTGATCTCAGCAAATCTAACTCATGCCCTCTTTGCTCTTGGTTTGTGTATTTGTCACACTAAAATGTTTCAGGTCATCAATTCCTTTGATCTGAAACATGTACGTGTGACAAATATGCAAACAAATAAGGAATCAGCACGGGGTCAAGTGCATGCGTGAAGTGAAGATTGCCATGGCACTAATCCATGTGATGCAGTTTTTGATCTAATCATGTAGCAAATGAATTATTCCATATCCAGATGCTTATTATTGTGATAAAGCTCACAAAAATGAAGATGATGTACAAGCCAAACAGCAGACGATCGATCACTGTCCCGATCATTTCCCACTCCTGCGTGGCTTTGGTCTCTTGACAGTATTTGTCCATCTGAACTCGGATGGCTGTGAGCTCTCTGCCTAACATCCTCAGTTGTTCCAGAACTGGGTCCGGAGAGTCCAGAGAAGCTGAAAGTGTAACATCTGAGATGCTCTGATGGTCGGAGAGGTTTGTGGCGCTGGTGTTCGCTGATGGTGCTGTGAAACACAAACAAAACACCCTGAGACCACAAAAAGTGGTTACTTTTTCTTAAGTCGTAGATGGTGATTAAAATCGACTTGACTATATTACTACCGGCTTAAATAAGGATAAGCATAACGTACTTTTCAGCTGAGAGATACGTGGCATGACTGTGGAGAGTTGTGACCTAAAGTTTACGTGTCCAGATTCATCAGGATCAAATTGTTTACAAGTTTTAAAAAAAATTGGTACCTCGAACTGACTGCGAGAAAATGATTCATGCGTTCATATCGAACGGGTCAGACTGTTGTAACGCTCTGTTTGTAGGACTACACCATCATCAGAGTTCTTGCATATAGGCAAATATAACCATTACCCAAGCGTTTATGTCACTTCACTGGCTCCCAGGACACACACACAGATTTGCCTTAAAAATCCTTCTATTAGTTCTTGAAGCTCTCAGTGGTTTGGCTCTCTGGTACAAGTTAATATAATTCAGTGAAGGAGAAACTTTCAACTCGTTTATTCTTCTTGCATCCCTCCATCCATGGTTTTCAACTTATCCGGGGCCGGGTCACGGTGGCAGCAGCCTAAGCGGAGAAGCCCAGACCTCCTCCTGCCCGGCCCCCTCCTCCAGGTTGTCCAGAGAAACAGCAAAGCGTTCCCAGGCCAGCTGACAGATATAATCTCTCCAGCGTGTCCTGGATCTGCCCCAGGGCCTCCTCCCAGTCGGACATGCCCGGAACACCTCACCCAGGAGGCATCCTTGTCAGATGCCCAAACCACCTCAACTGGCTCCTTTCAAAGAGGAAGAGAAGTGTTTCTACACTGAGCCCCTCCCGGATGGCCGAACTCCTCACCCTATCTCTAAGGGAGACGCCAGCCACCCTTTGGAGAAAGCTCATTTCTGCCACTTGTATCTTGCTCTTTCGGTGGGAACGTACACCGATGGATAAACTGAAAGCTTCGCTTTTACGCTCAGCTCTTTCTTCAACATGATGTACAGCCTCCGCATCACTACAGTCGCAGCACCAATCTGTCTGTAGATCTCCAGCTTCCCTCTCCTCTCACTCGTGAACAAGACCACGAGATACAGTCGTGGCCAAAAGTTTTGAAAATGACACAAATAATATTTTTTACAAAGTTTGCTTCTTCAGTTTTTATCATAGCAATTTGCGAATACTTCAGAAGGTTATGAAGAGTGATCAGATGAATTGCAAAGTCCTTTTTGACATGAAAATAAACGTCATTCCAAAAACCTGCATTTCCACTGCATTTCATCGCTGCCATAAAAGGATCTGCTGACATCATTTCCACAATCTTCTTGTTAACTCAGATGAGAATGTTGATGAGCACAAGGCTGGAGATCATTATTATTACTCATTTATTGAGTTAAAATAGCGGACTGGATTTGTTAAAAGGAGGGTCATTTTTGAAATCATTGGTTACCTGCAAAGAAACACATGCAGCCATCATCGCGTTGCATAAAAGAAATTGATTCCATCCTGTTTTTTAAAACTCCAATTGCTTATTTGTACTATGCTTTCATTTTAGAGTGTACTTAAACTCCTTTATTTGGTGCAGGAACTCGTCCCTGACCCTCAGTGGGCACTCCTTTTTCTGGCTGAGGACCATGGCCTCAGATTTGGAAGTGCTGATTCTGAATCCTGCCTCTTCACACTCAGCTGCAAACCACTCCAGTGCCAGCTGGAGGCCGTCACCTTATGAAGCCAACAGAACCACATCATCTGCAAAAGGCAGAGATGAAATTCTGAGGCCACCCAAGTGGAAGCCTTCTGCCACTTGGCTATGCCTAAATATTATGTCCATAAAGATTATGAACAGATTCAGTGACAAAGGGCAGCACTGTTGGCGTCCAACGCACCAGAAACATGTTTGACTTATTGCTGGCTATGCGGACCAAGCTCCTGCAACATTTTTATAAGGATTGAATGGCCTGTATCAACGGGGCTAGACACCCCATACTTCTGCGGAACATCTCACCAGGGACATGGGTGAATGCCTTCTCCAAGTCCACAAAACACATGTAGACTGGTTGTGCAAACTCCCATACACCTCGAGTATCCTCGAGAGGGTAAACAGCTGGTCCAACCAAAACATAAACCAAATTGTTCCTCCTGCATCCGAGGTTCGACTAACGAACAGACTCTCTTTTCCGGCACCCTGGCATAGACTTTCCCAGGGGGGCTCAGGAATGTGATCTCCCTATAGCTGGAACACACAATCCTCAGCCATAATGCCAGCATTATGTTGTTTAACCTAACACATAGTCCACTACAGTCAATACAGGCCACAGCTGTTTCTTCAGCTTGGGCTCTTAACAAAATCTTCTAGTAATAACGGGACTATAAAAATAATAACGTACCTTTGTGAGATGGATTGAGGGAGACTGTGACTCGGTTGCTCTTTTGCTTTGGAGGGATACAAACAAGAACAGCTAGATAACGTAACACGAGGACACTGAGCCAGTGAGGCACTGCGCTGTACTCTCTGGGCTTGTACTGAATGTTTGTGATGAACAGCGTCTCCAACAGGCTGGCAACCATCAGCGCCAGACTGATGGAGAAGAAAACATCTGCAGGAAACAGCACCAAAGACAGGAAGAACTCAGAACAGTTTTCATTAAATCATTTTCACATGTGAGCTCATATTCTCTTTCTCAGTCTTAGTTACCATCGTGTTTAAGAAATGTCTGGATTACAGCCATAGATGCCTTATCTTGCTGTGTGTCATTGACATGACAACTAGAGCTAAAAAAAACCCCCCACACCCCAAGAATAAATGTGTCTTTAGTAGGTGGAGCCTTTTGGCAAGTTGACACTGATCGGGATCATCCAGTTTTGCAAAATGTACTTCGGTGAAGAGTTTCACAGTTTAGAAAACTTGTTTTTTTAGGAACTGACAGTTTTGGTGAAAATTTGATTTCGAGACGTCTGTTCCACAGATGTTTGAATTCAACCCTTCATAATCCAAAGGACACTGTATTGTCTTTCAGAAACACTGTCTCTAACCTCCTTAAGTGTATAAATACAGCACAGTGTATTTCTTCAAAAGAAGAACTATGCAGCCGATACTACATTTATGTACACTCACTGATGAGCGGTGTTTTCTCCCCGGTAACAGGCAGCAGGTCATTCATTATGAGCAGGAAGACGGTGTAGCCCAGGATGAGTGTCATCTTGAAGGAGGATCTGTCCACGCTCTGTGGGGGCAGCACAAAACTGAAGAGGTCCACTGTGATTAGGAAACAGCTGGGGACCAGGAGGTTGACCACATAGGCGATTGGTCTCCGTCTTAGCACGATCTTGGGAAGAGACAAAAGTATTAAACCTGTAAGAATTTTGTTAGATTGTATGCATCAATCAATCTTTTTCCTTTACAGCGATGTGACTGACAGAAAATGATTACATCAAGTTGTTGCTGCTAAAGTCACTGAATCATAGGATGTACTTAGTTTTTACCAACTGCTTCAGAATTTTGGTCAATAAATGAGATGTCTCATTACATCAAATATTAGAAATGAAGCTTTTAAAACGGAAACTACTTCCAAAATGCTGGACGTAATCCCTGCTGTCCTGTACCACCACAGCACAGTTCAGTTTCTTTATGTTTCACTCATGCATCATCTGCACCTGATTTTACTTTACTTTCATTCTCACAACAAACATGTTCAATATGATAGCGACTGGTTTATAAAGGCTTCCCATAATTAGGAACTATTAAACAATAAAGTGTGATCAGCTATAACAGTACAAAATAAATTATCAGAAGGATGAAAAAGTCAGTAAAAACACGCTTACATAGTATGTGATCTCAGAGTAGCTTCCACTGTCTAAATGCAGGCTGGAATCGGCAATATTTATATCTGTCAGCTCCCACTCCCCACTGGTTACTATCACATCTTGGGACTCTTTCAGGACCTTTTCAGCTGTGGCGCCTTGAATCATCTGAATATCCGTAGCTAGAGTGACATTCAAGACTTTTGCTTATTTGCATATTAGCACATAGTTTTGTGTTAAAATCAGAATATGGATGCTCTATAGGGATGTTTTAGAGTTTAAAAAATAATTTTTAAGACTCTTTGAGATTATTATTTTTTTAAATTTTCAGGCAGCCTTACCAAAGTGTATATATGATCCGAAGGTCAACGAGCAGTTTTGGATATCAAAGGGAAAGGTGTAGATTCCCAATTGGCAAGAAGTGACCACTGTGATGGGCTTATCATCATATACATGACCTGTATTATATAAGTAGACATAGGGAGTTTTGGTAGAGCTGGCTTCGTCCAGGCTGGAATAGAACAGAATACAATAATAAAACACTGAAAAAATATATATGAAAAACAATATATTCAAATCAGGTGATGAGTGTTTCATTATTATCAGGATGTCCTAAAAACTAAATGAAAAGTCTTCAGCTAATCCAAAATGCTGCAGCAAGAGTCCTGACAGGGACTAGAAAGAGAGAGCAGATTTCTCCTGTTTTGACTTCCCTTCACTGGCCATCCATCCATCCATCCATCCATCCATCCATCCATCCATCCATTTGCTTCCGCTGTTTTATAGAAGTGAAAAACTATTTTATATGTTAGAGGTGTCACAAAGCAAGAAATATTAGTGTCAAAGGCACTTTTCTGCTTGAAATGTATTTTTCACAAAAAGCTCATTTTCTCCCCTTTTTTGGTCAAAACAGGCATTTTTGGTGGAACCCACCTCTCTTCTACAGCTGATTACTAAAGAATGGAAAATGGTAGAAACAAGCTTTTTTTTTGGATGAAAGAAGAGAGTCTGTTCTTCATTTTGGTAGGTTCAGCGTTTATATGATCATAACACACAGTTTTCTGTGGCTCTTCAAAAATGAGTAAAAATGCTCAAAAACCCTGGCAGTGGGGAGTTACCTGATTTGAAAATGGCTGGCAGTGAATGAGTTAAAAGGGAGTTTTTCCTTCCCACTGTCGCCAAAGTGCTTGCTCATAGGGGGTCATATGATTGTTGGGTTTTTCTCTGTATGTATTATTGTAGGGTCTACCTTACAATATAAAGTGTGATTTGGCGCTGTATAAATAAAATTTGAATTGAACAACACTGAAAATAAATGTCGCAGCCTGTCCAGTAGGTGGTGCAGAGGGTGGTCGGGGTTCCTGATTAGTTTATTTATCTCCTGCTCCCCCAGCAGACCACAGCAAAGTACACTGCACTCATCAGGACGTAAGCTTCCTTAGCAAAGAAAACCTGCTCTTCCACTTTCTGTTTACAGAGCAAGTGTTGGTCTCCCAGCTCAGTTGTGGACGGCGATGTCTCTCATGACTGCTTTGTCATTTCTGACATTTTTAGTGTTTTAATTAAAAGTTAGTTTCTTCGACTTGATTTAGAAAATTCATTAAACTTACAGCTGTTTTAAGTGAATGTCTGGGACCCAAAGGTTGTCCCGAGGAACCGAAACTCTTTTAGCTGCACATTCCTTCTCATCCCAGTTCAGTCCTTCGATATCCCACTCCTACATTAAACAGAACAACAGCAAAACTGTTCCACAGCACTACAGCTATCATGCTAACTGCTGAAACAGGGAAACACAACATCTGGCATTAAGTCATGTTAGACTGTAAGAAAAAGTTCCCAAGTGATAATAAATATTTGAAATTACTGTTACAGACTTAAGGAAATCTAAAATAACAAGTAATGTATTCTTTATGTATTAATTCAGTGGCCAAACATTTTGATTCATTCTTATGATCGCTCTGGATTGGTTCATTGTGCTGAAAATACAAATAGCTGCAACAGAAATAATTTACAAAATGTCAGTATAATCATATAAGAAATGTGACATTATTGTATTAGTTCTGAGAGCTGTTCAAAACATACCAGGACCTGCCATATGACTGAAGACAGTGTTTGGGATTTTTCATTCTAAAGATGAGTAACATTAGAAAGTATATTAGAGTCATAAGGATTATTAGTTCCACATAGATGACATGATGTTAATATTTTGTGTATAAGCTGTGTAGACTCACCACTCCTAAAATTCCTGCCACTGTTATGCTGATGGATATGTTTATTGGCTTTGCAAAGGTTTCGACAGGACGCAGCAGTTTGTTAGGGAACAAATGATTTGTGAGTTCATCAAACAGGGCAGCAGGAGTTGGGCTGGTGCAGTTCAAAGCCGCCACAAAGCCTGAGATCAAGAAGAGAACAAGCAAATTAAACGTACCATTATGTTAAATGCTTGAACATGAAAACACGCAGGCTCAGTTCTTCCATTTGTATTTTTTTTTTTAGTGCAGCAGATGCTTATTTTATTACAGCGGGTAAACACGTGAGAGCCGAGTGTGTTTACTCGTTTCTTTTGTTTGTAATGAAAATGTAATTGTACTGAAAACACTGAAAAATAAAAGCAGATCCAGTGCTGCCCTTTATTGAGATAGATGTAACTGAATGATCTCCTTCGTTTGAAAATTAATGACAAAAATAATAGTGATGGGAAAGTTTTTAAACATTTAACCATTTAGCTTCTCTGTTATGTATTAATCTGCATGTATATCACGTATAAAGAAATGAAGGCAATACTTTAACTTTAGTCTCTAAGTTAGGTTTGTTTTTCTTACAGGAAGTTTTAATGCTAAATTTTAATAAATCCTTCATACATTAGTAAATATGTGTAAGGTGTTATGACTGTGCAGGAAGTAAATCAACACATTGCTGTCGCTTTCTTTGTTGTGAAATGTGTTGATAAAATGTTTTCTTGCCTTACCTTGTAGCAACATGAAACAGATGACGATCAGCTCAGCAGCTTTCACACCGGCCATTTTCTGTCTCAGCTTTATTTAGCCCTTATTAACATGACAAGTGGCTGATACTCTAAATTACAACAGCTTGGGTGCCGTCACATACAGATAAAGCTGTGAGGATGCGCAGGTGAAACCAGTAACCACCTTCAGAAACTAATATTGACTTTGCAGTGTGACACACGTACCTGATGCACGCGTCCATCCACACATTGTTGCAAGTGTTTGGATTCAAAGCAGGTTTTTATCACTTATCATCTTCACTTGGATTTGTTCCGTATGAGTCAATCACATGATGACTGTTGTGACAGCTTTTTTTCGCAACAGGCTCTGCTGCTTTCAGTTTCCAATAATGTGACATAGGTCACATTATTGGAAACATTATCAGCTGCCTCCCTCTTCCCACTCCACCACAATCACCCACACATGCAGGGCCTTGGGGTAAAGGTATGTCACCAGGGTGCGGGGGAGGCATCTCCCCCTCTGTCCCCTTCTGGCTGCCTGTACTTCAATTTTATCCCACAACTTAGACATTCACATTACTCACACTCTCATTACACATACATATAGGACCTTGGGGGTGGGCACGCTACACGGTATCCAAAAGACCATCAGGGGGTACACCTCACCCCTGGCGTCGTTGCCCACCTCTCAATTTTAAATACACGTAGACATTGAGGGCTATCAGGAGGGACCATGCGCTTACCTGCTGCTCTCTGGCAGGTAGCTCCATGCCCTCCTGGGTTTTAAATGCACCTTAGAACACACATGCATCAACACTACAATGAGTGGGTGGAGGGAGGTTTGGAGTCTTCTCTCACCCCCGTTCTCTGCGGCCTGCTGGAGCGGGGGGGCTAGGAGGAGGAGTTGGCTGTCCGACTGCGGTCTGGAGTGTGGGGCCTCCCTGCTGCTGCCGAGTCGGGGCGGTCTGCCTCTCCCCACCGCAGGGAAAAGGGTAACACTACCTGGGTCTGGGTGCAGTTTCCCCCTCCAGGGGCAAGGGTACCTAGACCCGGTTCGTAGAGTACGCTTGGGGAGTGTGATCGTGTGTACAGCGTCTCTTTATGTCTGTCTCCACGTTGGGTGAGTGTGGAGTAAGTGCATATGAGAGCATGAGGGTGGGAATGGATGTTTGTATCTGTGTGTGCCTGTATGTCTGTGTCTATATGCCAGTGGCGGACTCCCTCAGACATCGGTGCGTTGGTGGTTCTTTGTGTCCGGGGATGGGCGTCCGGGTAAACACCGGCTCACTCCTTGGCGGCCGCTTATCGGGGCCTGGAGCCTGGGGCTTGCTCGGGCCACTTCGGAGGTGGGGTGCCCCCGGCCTCTCGGCCTGGGGCTCGGTCACTCAGGCACAGCTGGCTGCCGGCGGAGCTCACGGGTGCGTCACTGCAACCCCCCCTGGCTTCTGCTCCGCGGCTGCTGGGTGAGCCCTCATCTGGGACTCTCCTCAGCTCTTTCTGGGACAGTGGCGCGGCTGCCCCTCTGTTGGTCTTCCTTGGTCTCTTGTGTTCTGGGGGCCTCTGGATGTCTGGAGTTTTGATCTCCTCCATACCTGCTTCATGCCCTGGAGGACGGGGCTGTGGCCCCCCCACACCCTCTAGCAGATCATTACATGAAGGAACCTTTTAAAAAAAACAAGCGCATCCATGCTCACAGGTGTACACACCCACAAACTACACCCTTTTTGGCTCCTACCTCAAAGCACACTGTGTTCTGTTGATCTTATGTGCTGCACAATAATGTTTAACATTTAGTATTTACTGTCATATTCCCATATATCATTGTGATGTTGTTTATTCTATTACTCTTGTTCTCTTCTGCTTGTTTTCTTTTTTCTTTCTCAACAGGTGATCCAGGTGATCGATAGATGCATTTCTTTTTCTTTTTTTTTCTGCCCGTTCTGTTGGTTTTTGTTTTTTGCCCTTCTCCCCCGTCCCTCTTCTCAGCTGTTTCTCTTTCCCTCTTTCTTTCCCCCAGTCAAGTCTGTCCCGTATTCAGCAAGTGAAAATAAAATAAACAATAAAAGGTGAATCAAATGGACCATTATGGCAAGGCTGGGATGGTCAATTTGGTAAAGTAAATCCGTTGGGCATCTTTCTTTGCCTTTAGACAATAATTCTGATGGCAAAAGAACCAAACGGGACAGGCAAAAAACAAAAACAAAAACAAAAAACGACTAAATAAAACAGGCAATAAATTAACCAAAAGCAGTTAAAAAAAGAAAAAAGAAAAAAAAGAAAAGCCAGTGTGCATGGATTCATCCGTGTTTGCCATTACACACTTCAGCACCATTGGGCAGTGATTTTCAGGTTCCTTTTCACATGTAATGTACAGCTGGCCACTACACTCTTTGCAAAAGCCTCTGATTTTAATAAAACAAGATACAGTTCTGAGGTACACCTTGGCTCGTTTAAAAGT